ATCAGCCTGGGTGCGAGGCCTCCGGAGGACGGCTGCCGGCAGAGCAGGCGGCCGTCACAGGTCACAGGAGGTGTCACGGGGGCCCCGCCCAGGCCCGGCAGCTGCCAGCACGGGGACGGCTCGTTGGGGGGGGAGAGCGTGGAGATGGGCAGCAGAGGATGGTGCCCGGTGCACAGGCGCCCTCACTACCTCACACGTTCATTCTTTCACAGATTTCCCCGGCTGAGCGGGGCCACGCCACCGAAGCCCAGGTCCGCGGTGACTGGAGGCCCGGTCTGGGGAAGCTGGGCTCCGTGTCCGGCTCAGGCCATCAGTGACCTGCCCGGCTCAGAGCTCCGGCCTTTTCCTGGCTAATCCTCACCTGGGGCCAGTTCTTCCACTGCCTCGAGAGAGGGGAGGGTGAGAGAAACATAGTGAGAGACATCGATGGGCTGTCTCCTGCCGGCACCCCAAACCAGGGCCGGGGGTTGACCAGGAATCGACCTGTGACTCCGGGGGTAAGCGTGGCTGACGCTCTAACCACTGAACAGCCCGACCAGGGCTCCTCCTGTTCTCTCACTTCCTGTTCATCCTCCTGAGGGTGGTTGTAAGGGACTGACATCCCTGATTCTGTCCCCAGTTCACAGGGAACTTCACGGTTGGGCGTGTGTCCTGGTGGGGAAATGGAGTCAGGTCACGTCCTGGTTTCTTCTCACGGCTCTGTGCCCAGGGGCCAGACGGGCAGGGGGACCTGTGCTGAGGAGCTGGGCCGGCGGCTGGCGGGAGCTGCCTGCCATCCAGGCCCTAACCGGTGGGGTGTGAGCACCGGGCAGGGAGCGCTGCAGAGGGCGGGCCACAGGGAGGGAGCAGGGCAGGCTGCTCTGCCCTGGTGGCGCGCTCGGGTGGCTGTGAGGTGGGAGCACGGTGCCCATCATGGGACGTTCCCGTGTGCTGATCAGAGGCCCCCCCGCCCCGAGGCTCGTGTGGCTTGGCAGGGCGGCCGTGGTCACAGCCTCGGCCCTCGCTGTGCTGCCAACAGAGCCACCTGGGGTGCCCAACAGCACAGGCTCGCTGCCAGGTGCCCCCCCCTCGGCTCTTTCCCGGGGCGGGGCGGGCAGGACTGGGGAGACCCCGTGTAAGGGCGGTGTTAGGTGCACACTCATTGCTTCTCCGCTGCTCAGGAGAGTTCTGATTACAAACCCGATTTACCTGAGCGCCATTTCTAGTTTCCATGGAAACCTGCTGCCTCCCATCTGCTCAGGGGGCTGGCGGGACCCGTAGGTCCACTAGCAGCCGGGCCTTCGGCGCAGTGGGGGACGGGCAGTGCTGGGCTGGAGGGAAACGGGCCCCGAAGAGATGGTGGGCCCGGACTCAGAACTCCCCGTTCCCCCTACACAGGCCAGCAAGCCGAGGCTGGAGTGGGGGAGGGGGTGGGGTGGGGGAGGCCCCGGCCCCGGGTGACAGCAGTGTTGGGACCCACTGGCAAATGGGACTGCGTTGTGGGCAGAGCCTGAGGCATGTCAGAGCTGCTGTCCACGCCACCGCAGCCCAGGGTCAGGGTCAGCGCACACACGGCCACAGCCACGGCCACGGCCACGGCCACGGCCTCCCTCCCTCCAGCCCACGGGCCTCTGGGCTGTGCCTGCGCAGGTCCTCGGGCGGGAGCTCGGGGCTGCTGGAGGCCTCACCTCTGTGGCCATTCACCCGGAGGGAACCCCCACCCCCGCCCCGTCACCTGCGGCCAGGCAGCCCCAGCCCTGCTGACGTCCTCACCACCCAGAGCTGCCTCAGCCCCGCGCAGACCCAGCAGGTCCCTGAGCCAGAGCCTGGGGTTCGAGTCCATCCCCAGCTTCCCAGGGGGCAGTGGGTGCAGGCATTTCTGGGGCTTCGGGCTCTGCCTCCTAAGGGACCCATCCCTGGGGCAGTGTGGGGTGCAGGGGGTGAAGGATTCTGCAGACATGGGCTCAGCCCTGGCCCTGGGCTGGCCTCCAGGCTGTGGGCAGAGTGGGCAGGGGCCTCACTCCTGGGGATAAACGTTCTGGATGCAAGTAACACAAGCCAACCAGCGTCAGCCAAGAGGGGAAGGGGAGGGTGTGGAGGGGCCCCCACAAAGAGCCATCCGAGCTCACGGGGGCGGGGGAACTCAGGAGGCAGCCGGGCCGCCCCCCTGGCGCCTGCTCGCTGGCCGTGCTGCTGGGTGGCCGTGGCCGTCCCGTGACCGTCCTCAGAGCAGACCTGTCAGAGCCAGCCCGCGGGGAGCTGGCCTGGCCCGGGTCCCGCTCCCAGCAGAGAGCGGCCAGCCCGCTGGCTGTGCGGGGCGAGGGGCAGGGGCGGCCAGCACTGGGCCCAGCAGGCGGTGCGGGAAAGCAGCTCCCCAGGCAGGAGGGAGGGGACGGGGGAGGGGAAGGGTCACAGTGCTGGGGGAGGGGGCCGGAAGTGGGTGTGGTCACAAGCTGAGTCCTGCCAGGCCCAGGCTGACCCAGCCTGAGGCCCAGGCTCCGCTGGCCAGCTCCCCGGCCCACCCCAGCGGCAGCCAGGCCCCGGAGCCTGCTGCCCTGCCCACCAGTGTTTTCCTTTGGAGCAAAGGGAGCTGAGCCAGTTTATTCCAGCCAAGAACAGCGCCCAGGGCTCCAACCAGCCGACCCGCGGGGCCCAGCAGGAAGTGCAGCCCCACTGGGCCCCTGCCCTGAGCAGGGAGGGACCCAGGACCAGAGGTGAAGTCAGGTGAAGCCGGGCTGCGGCTGAGTGGAGCGGTGCCCTGGCTGAACCGCTGGCTCCGCACGGCCTGGTCCCCTCCAGGGGGCGGGCGGGCGTGGGCTCTGCTCTGTCAGCAGCACGGAGGCTCGAGACCCGAGGATCCGGTCAGTGTCTCTTCCTCGGGTGCCTGGACTTAGGAGCCCTGGGTCCATCCACTCCCAGCCCTTCCTGCGGCCTGGTCCCCAGTGTCCTGGAGCTGTGACCCCCCCTCCCCCGGGCCCCGTCTCCCAGGCCTGCATAGCCCCACACCGCCCTGGGGTCCAGCTGGTGCTGCCCTTCACTGTGTGGCCTAGGGAGTGCCTCACCCTGTGTGTGTCAGACTCCTCAGGAGAGAGGGAGGGAGGGGGGCAGAGGACACTGAGCGCAGCACTGAGGGCAGGTGAGCTTCCCGCTCCCCTCCTCCGACTCCACCGAGACCTCGGTTGCCCACTACCCACTGGCGCTCCAGGGCCAGAGCCTTGGGGTCTCCCTCCGCCTCACAGGCCAGGAGCAGAACGGGAAGCAGGGAGGGAGTCTTCCGGAAGGGGAAATGGCCTAGGGCAGTGATGGGCAAACTCATTAATCAGCAGAGCCAAATACCAACAGGACAACAACTGAAATGTCTTTGGAGAGCCTTTTTTAAACTCCTTCCGATGCCACTTCTTCAAAGTAGACTCGCCCAGGCCGTATTTTATGGAAGAGCCACACTCAAGGGGCTAAAGAGCCGCATGTGGCTCTCGAGCCGCAGTTTGTCAGCCACGGGGCTAGGAAAAGGCTAGGAGATGCAGCCCAGGAGCAGCCCTTTCTCCAGCTCAGCCTCCACCCCCCCAGCCTGCTGGCCCTGTCTCAGTGACGGTGACGGGCAGGTCGTGGGTGGGCCTGCAATTCTGAATTCCTAACGAGCTGCCAGAGGAGCGGACACTCCGAGCGGCAATGACCTGGAGCGTCTGTCCGATGTGCCAGCCCAGGGGGGAGAGCCTTTCTTGGATATGTGTACCATTGTGACCACACAAAGTATAAAATAAAAATTAGCCTGCTCTGTGTGGTCAGCATTTGGTTAACTCACCCAATGCCTCGGCAGGGCTGGACCCTGGTGCTGGCACTGGCCACAGGTGGCTGTTGGTGTTTAAACTAGTGAGAGGATCAGCCCTCAGTCCCGGTGACAGCAGCCACACTTCCAGCGCCAGAGCCAGCAGCCAGCACACGGACCTGCCAGGAGCGGCCGCAGCCAAGCCAAGGGCGTGCGCATGCAGGCCTCGTGCCCCGCCCCACCCCTCTGGGGATCCTCCCTCGCTTTGGAGCAGAGCCTGCAGCCACAGGGAGAGTCTGGAATTCAAGTGCTGCCACGTTAGGGGCTGGCCGGCACTGGGGCTCCCCACGAAACCCCGGAAGCCCCTTAGAAGGACCGGCCCAGGCTGCAGGGACGTGGACGAAGCATTGGAATCGGGCAGGACAGGAACAGACCTGCCAATCACTGCCTGCTGCCCGCCTCCGTCCAATCTCAGCGGCTCACCGATAGGTAAATGAGCACTAAAGGAAACTCCGCTCCCTGCACAAAAGAATCTAAAATCTGCTAGTCGCCCACAATCTCCAGCACACGTGACACTGGTATATACGAACAAGCTAGTCACACGAACAAAGTGAGACGCACAGTCAAGAGACTGGGTGAGACGGGATGGCACAACCTGGAGCCCTCCCATGGTCCCTCTCAGGCCCCAATCATGCACCAGTGGGGTCCCTCAGCCTGGCCTGCGCCCTCTCGCAATCGGGGAACCTCTCAGGGGATGTATGAGAGCCAGTTTGGGCCCGATCCCTGCAGGCCAGGCCTAGGGACCCCACTGTGCACTGGACCTCCAGTGTACATATAACTGGGAGCAGAGAGAATGGAGCAGGAAAAACATTTATGGAATATTGGCTGATTTTTCCAAATTGGATCAAAAAACAGTAATCCAGGGACTTATAAGGTTTAGCAAAGCCCAAGCAAGTTAACAAAAAACACAGCTTATGCCCTTACACAAAACTGTTGAATACTAGCCCTAGCCGGTGTGGCTCAGTGGATAGAGTGCCAGTCTGCAGACTGAAGGGTCCCAGGTTCGATTCTGGTCATGGGGCACATGCTTGGGGTTGCGGGCTTGATCCTCAGTGTGAGGCAGTTGATTGGTGATTCTCACTGATGTTTCTCTCTTCTCTGAAATCAATAAGAACATATTACAAAAATAAATTATTTTTAAAAAACAGAAAAACTGACTACTAAAGGTGGAAAATGGTGCTGCGCCTAATTCTACGTTCTCAGGAGTACGAGGGGTACTCAGCGTTATGAAAATTATAGAAGGGGTACATATATGTCAAGTTTGGGAAACATTGCCTTAGAGCATAATCCGGATACACCGAGGTCTAGGGCTGGGTCTCCAGTCGGGAACATGGAAGCAGAATTCCCTTGGGAGTGGAACACCGTTACCAGTGTCTCTCTCTCAAGTTAATTTAGAAAAAGGAGAAACGGCAGAGGCCGGAAGACACCGGAATGGCGACCGGAGCCAGAAGATGAACGGTGCTGGGCTGTCCCCTCCCACCCTGTGGGTGCACAGGCCCCTCCACAGGAGCCGCGGGCAGGGCCACACCCGGCCGAGCTCACCCACGTATGGGAGCTGCGAGGCAGCGGGCCACCGGCTGGCCGTGACCTTTGGGCGAGGTGGGGTGCTGGGGCCTCTTGGGTGGGGGAGTTTATCTGTTACTCCGAACGTGCCCAGCGAGCCCGCACTACGTGCCACAAAAACCACGGACCACGACAGTGTGTGTGTGTAAACTGCACAAATAATTTAATGGGAAGACGTGACCGTACTTGGTGAGACGCCTCGGGGCGGGGTGGGGCGCGAGAGGCTCTCTGGCCGCTGGTCCCCATGGGTCTCTGGGGCAGCGGGCACTTCCAGGTGACCCTGCCTCCACACCTGGGCACCCAGGGCGGGCGCTGCCCGAAGAGCCGGCTCAAGCACTTCCTCCGTCTCCTGACACCCCCCCAGCCCTTCCCCGATGCTGAGACCCAGCCTGTCAGCTCCCTCATTTAACTCGGGCCGGACTTGGGTGGCCGTGGGGCTCGGCGCCTTCGGCTTCTCCAGCTTCCGTCCCTGGAGTGTGATGCCCCTGGAACACTGATGGCAGGCGGAAGGCAAGTGGCTTGAGCACTGCCAGCCTGGAACTGCAGGCCGAGGGGCGGGCAGGGCCCCGGGCTCACAGAGGCCGCTTCCTCCTCTTGGAGGCCGGGGGCGGCCGCAGCTCTGCAGGCCCGTGGGCGAAGGGGCAGCGGTCCGCGGGCAGGGCGCAGCCGTCGGGGTGGTGCGAGAAGAACCAGCAGAGGCGGGTTTTGAATGCCGTGGAGAGCAGCCGGCGCTTGGCTTCCGGTTGCTTCTCCTCCTGCAGCTTCTCCTCCCTCCAGTCTCGAAAGCGCACTCGCCCGTTCAGAACTGCAGCTCGGACAGAGAAAGACACAGCAGTGACTAAGCCCATGTGCCGATCCCCCAGCTCCGCGCTCCCAACACGGCGTCCTGTGTGCTGACGGCACCCCGGCCATGGGGGCTCTGAGGAGTGGGCACCGCTGCCACGCCTGCCACAGCCTCCGTGGCACAGCCCTGGCACCGCCTGCACCCGCACACGTGAGACACAGCTCAGCAGCCTGCAGACGGCTCAGGCATAGCTCTCGCATGACGCACGCTGCCTGCTCCCACTCCACTCGCCTCCTCCTCAGCAGCGCTTCCAAAAATAAAGCTCCCTGCGTACACCACACAGGACAGCAGAAGCATGCGTGCTCTAATGGAAAAAAGATGTTCCCGAAACCAAGCAAAGAACGTGGGGGCACGGAAGGCTGCAGCGGCCTCCGAGCTGAGCTGCGAAGGCAGAGCGAGCCCAGGCGCTGCCGGTCAGCTCAGCTGGCTCCTCCCAGCCCGAGGGCAGCATGCACCCAGGGAGACCGCGACCTCAGCCCAGCACGCGCACCCGCTGGGCCTGCCCTGGGCCAGCTCCCTTGGACCAACTCCAGCCCGGCCTCCCTCACTCCGGAAGGCCCCTCCTTCCCAGACCCTGACCCAGCGCCTGTCCTGCTGAGGCCGCCCGAGGTGGGAGCCTCCTCCGCCAGGTCCTGAGACAGGACAGAGGCCATCGCCCTGGCTGCAGCCTCCAGCACAGCACACAAGGGACAGCCCTGCCCCGAGATGGCACCTCCTGGGCCAGACCTCCTCCTGTGACACCACAGCCTGGGCCCCCGCGGCCGCGCCTGCAGGGAGCTCACGGCCTGGCTGGGGTGGGGTGGGGTGTGACGTGTGCAGGAGGAAGTGACGGGAGCACCTGGGGCCCCGGGCCCGGGGGGCAGGACTGGGGTGGGGAGGGGGGGTGGAGGGGGGCAGGTGGCGTGGGGAGGTGACAGCCACAGCCACGCGGGAGGAGCGGCGGGGGCGGCGCTCACCTGCGAACACCTGGTGGCTGTTGCGCAGCAGCGTCTGCAGGCCACCGCACTCCCGCTTCAGCCTCCGCAGCGTCTCCCTGTCCAGCTCGCCCGCCACCTCCGCCAGGGAGAGGCTCGCTGTCGAGAAGGAAAGGGCCATCACACCCGGCCGGGGCACAGACCGGCCTCCCGCGAACCCAAATCCAGACACCCCGCGCTGCCCGAGGCGGCTGCCCGCAGCCCTGCCCGGAGCCGAGCCCCGGAGCCGAGCTCCCGCAGGTCAGGGCTGCGATGACCGCACCTGCAAATCCCCCTCACCTGCTCCGCCTGCCTGGAGAACGCGGGGCGCTAGGGGGAGTGGGACGCCGCCCCAGAGCGCCCCACCTCCCGCTCCGCCCAGGAGCTCCGCCCCACAAGCTCCCCGCACTGACCCTCACACGCGGCTCGGCCTGGCCATGCCGCTCCCGGCTGCTGCCCTAGCCCCTTCCCCCGGTCCTGCCGCAGCTCCCACACTGCTCAGCCAGCTGCCCAGGTAGGTCCTTGAGTCCCGCAGCACAGGCAAGAGGGGCCAGGCCTGGGGGGCGCTGGGAGGCGGTCACTAGCCCAGTGACCGGGAGAGCAAGCCCTGTGGGCGGGGCTGGAGGCTGAGATCACGCCTCCCCCTCACGGGAACATGCTCCCGGCCGACAGGAGCTGAAGCCTCCGACTGCCCTGGAGCACGTGCCCGGCTCCCAGACATCTCCAGTGTGTGTGTGTGTGTGTGTGGGGGGGGGGGGGGAATGCGCTGAGAATGATAATAGAGCCCCCTCCACCGAGGCCTGGGAAAGGCCCGTCCTGCTCACCAGGAGGCGCCCCAGGCTCCCGAAGGACCCCTCGCCAGGGAGTGCCATCCTGGGAAGGGAAGTCAATCTCCTGCCTTCAGATGCACTGGCTCTGGGCCCATCCAGCTTGCCTTCCTCTCCCCTGGCTCCCTCAGTGGGATACACCCAGGAGGTGGGGTGGCACCCTGAGCTGCTGCAGCCACACAGCCACCTGGGCCAGCCGCCCCGGCGAGGGCTGCCGGGGTGGGGGTCCTGACCAGATGCCAGGAGGGCGGGGACTCCTGGGAGGGACATGCTGGACGGGCACTGCGTCAGGACACGAGACGGGAGGGGTGAAATGATGGGACACGCACTGCGACCACCTCATGGCTGAGGAAGAGCCGGAGGTTGAAGGGCCAGCGATCCCTCCGCCCGGGCCTGTCCCGCCTGCGGGGCCAGCCAGGGGGCTGTCCTGACAGGCTTAGGGGGAGAGGGGTCCTCGATTTCCTGTGACCCTAACCCTCAGGCAGGGCTCTGGCTGGCGACAGCTCCACAGCGCCCCCTGGTGGCGGGCTGAGATGCCTGCCAGGCAGAGGAGCAGCAGGGAAACCTTCCCAGCAGCCAGGCCCTGGGACCCCGGGAACAACTGCAGGAAGACAATTGGGGCTCACACTTGGGCCCCTACCCCCTCGGATGCCACTGGTTGGAGGGGGCACCCTCCTGCAAGAACAGTCAGGCACACGCCCTCCCTCCTCCCGCCTGACTTGTCTGGGGCCCAGAGAACTACCACACCCACCATACGGGGTCAGAGCCCTCCCCGCTGGCACCCAGTCAGCCGTGTTCTGCTGGGACAGGCCTGCAGACGGAGTGTCCCGACTGACCTGCCGCCCCTCCGCCCGCCAGCGGGACCTCAGGAAACCGGGCCTGAGCGTGCAGCCGCCTGCCTGCATCGCCGTCTCTCACACACTAACCGACCAGCGCACCGTGTGGCCACGCACAGGGTGCAGGCGCTGCCACGGTTACCTCCTGGGTTCCAGGTCCGCGTGCTCCCGCTGGGAGGACTCCCGCTGGGAGGACTCCCTGGGCTTAACGGCGCTCCGCCCAGCAGCAGGCTGGCCACCTGCAGAACCACCTGGTCCACGAACTCCCTCGGGAGGGCGGTGCAGTTCCTCACGCGCTCAGCTCTGTCTCGGGGGCGAAAGCCGGGCAGCCAGCATCCCTCAGCCCCAGGCTCCAGGGCTCCGGGACCATTGGGGGGGTCACCGGGGAGGCCGTCAGGAAGACCTCGGTGACAGCAGTGCACGCTGCCAGTCTCGGCCCCGAGCGGGGCGGGGGCGGGCCCCGGGGCACGGCTGCTGCTGATGTACTGGGCCCTCTGCTGGTCGGCGAGGGCTTCTGCGGTGGGCGGGTAGGTCCTGGATCTCCCCAGGAGGCACACCTGCGCGAGCGAGAAGGGGAGTCACCTCTCCGCCCTCGGATCCTGCTAAGAGGAGCGGAGCACAGCACAGCCCTCCCCTCATCGGGAGAGCAAGCGTCCTTCACGCTCCAGACCGTGAGCAGCAGCGGAAGCCCAGGACACGCACACATGCTCAGGGCTGCACTGGACGGACAGACTGTGTACTGACAGCCGCGTCACTGCGCCCACATCAGCCCCCTCCGCCCCTGAGGCCACCCTAAAAGCTTCCGGGGAGCTTTCAATCGGTCTCGCCAGAACAAGGGAAGGCGTGGTGCCCACTGAGCTTGGTCCGGCGCGGATGTTCCACCTGGCTCCTCCCTCCTTCACACCTGCCCAAGGCCATGTGCCTAGCCCTGGTGCCAGGCCGTCCACGGCGCCGCCCAGCACAGCGTCCGAGCTTCCTCTGTGGGCACCAACTATTATACAAAGCCAGGCGACAGGAGAGGCCAGAGAGCGGGTGTGGTCGGCCCCTCCGGTGCCCAGCTCCGCCTCCTGCAGCGTGACCGGGCAGAACTCCGTGGGGAACGGGGCCCGGAGCAGCATCAGCCCACGCTGTGCGTATCCACTCCCGCCTCTGACCCCAACCACCGTCACAGGAACCAAGGCTCGGAGATTAGGGAAGAGGGGCATAGTCTGAGGCGCCTACAAGTGTAGGGGAGCAGCTAATAAAAAATCAAACTGGCACCCCCGAGCCCACCCACACCTGTTTCCAGCACCTCTAACCTCAGGAGACACCGACCTGCCCAACGAGAGGGCAAGTGAGAGCAGGACAGGCCCTACGGAAGCCAGGGTGCCTGAGCAGTGAGCACCGGAGCCGGGCCTCCCACCGCCCGGGGCACCGCCTCCAAGACCAGGCCCTGCGCGCCTGGCAGCCACAGGGGGGCGCCGGCCACTCCACTGCGGGGGAGTCTGAAGCGGGAGGCTTTGGCTGAGAAAGCCTCGCACAGCTGAGCTGCCACCACAGCCTCCGACTTCAGCCGCGCGCTCGTGGACCCAGGACACGGAGTGAGCGCTGAGCCTGACGGCACCGCCCAGGCCAGAGGCCTCCGCGCAGGCCCAGCAGACCCCTGCCTGGGGCCTCGGGGGCCGAGAGACGTGCCAGGTCCCCCGGGGAGGGAGTGTGGGAGAAGCCCCGAGCACAACCGTGCGCGACCGGCCCAGGCGCCTTCGGGACACCCTCCTCCCAGCACCATGGCCCTGTGGCCCGGCCCTGCCTCAGCCCTCCCTCGGCGCCCCCCGCCCGGCGCCCAGGCTGCACGCACGCGCTTGGTGGAAGGGATCCGCAGGCAGTCCTCCTCCACGTGGAACCCGCAGGCCGAGCCCACCTCCCGGACGAAGTCCAGGTACTCGCGGTACTGCGTCTTCCCGCTCTGCCGCCGCCGGTACCTTCCGGCGAAGTCGAAGAAGCAGCAGGGGAGCACAAAGAAGCGGCAGCGGTAGGAGGACCTGCAAACACAGGCAGACACCGTCCTGGCAGGCTCGTCAGGAACCCAGACCACCGCCACGGGGCCCCCCCCCACAGAGGCCCCGCTGAGCCACGGGCCCTTCCCCCCAGGAACCACCGCCACGGGCCTTCCCCACAGGAGCCCCCACTGAGCCCGTGGCCCTTCCCCACAGAGGCCCCGGCTGAGCCACGGGGCCCTCCCCACAGAGGCCCCGGCTGAGCCACGGGACCCTCCCCACAGAGGCCCCGGCTGAGCCACGGGCCCCTCCCCACAGAGGCCCCGCTGAGCCACGGGCCCCTCCCCACAGAAACCACTGCCACAGGGCCCCTCCCCATAGAGGCCCCGCTGAGCCACGGGCCCTATCCCACAGGAACCACCGCCACGGGCCTTCCCCACAGGAGCCCCCACTGAGCCCGTGGCCCTTCTCCACAGAGGCCCCGGCTGAGCCACAGGGCCCTTCTCCACAGAGGCCCCGGCTGAGCCACAGGGCCCCTCCCCACAGAGGCCCCGGCTGAGCCACAGGGCCCTTCTCCACAGAGGCCCCGGCTGAGCCACGGGCCCCTCCCCACAGAGGCCCCGGCTGAGCCACGGGCCCTTCTCCACAGAAACGACTGCCACAGGACCCCTCCCCACAGAGGCCCCGCTGAGCCACGGGCCCCTCCCCACAGAGGCCCCGGCTGAGCCACAGGGCCCCTCCCCACAGAGGCCCCGGCTGAGCCACGGGCCCCTCCCCACAGAAACCACTGCCACGGGCCCCTCCCCACAGAGGCCCCGGCTGAGCCACAGGGCCCCTCCCCACAGAGGCCCCGGCTGAGCCACAGGGCCCCTCCCCACAGAGGCCCCGGCTGAGCCACGGGCCCCTCCCTACAGAGGCCCCGGCTGAGCCACGGGCCCCTCCCCACAGAAACCACTGCCACGGGCCCCTCCCCACAGAGGCCCCGGCTGAGCCACGGGGCCCCTCCCCAGAGGCCCCACTGAGCCCGTGGCCCTTCCCCACAGAAACCACCGCGACGGGGCCCCTCCCCACAGAAGCCTCCGCTGAGCCACGTGGCAGTCGTGGATCAGGAGGCAGACGTCTGCTGCCAGTGCATTTTGTTTTACGTGGACAGTGAAGCACAGCCCTCCCCAGGGTGGTTCTGGGGACGGTGCAGCCCCGCGGACCTCCCAGGGCAGTGGTCGGCTACCTGAGGTCAGAACTCTGGGTAGGAGAATGCCTCGCGCGGCAGCCGGCAAACTCATCAGTCAGCAGAGCGGCAAACCAAGGCTCGGGCTGCACGCGGCTCGAGAACCAGTTGCCGACCGCTGTCCTGGTGAGACACGAGGCTCCCAGAGACCCCTCCAGCTGCCCTGCCCGCCGCCCGCACCGAGCGCAGGGCTCCGAGGTCCCGGGCAGCAGGGATGGGGGGCAGGCACAGTGCGGGCCAGACTGGCTGTGTGCCCGCGGCTTCCTGAGAGCTGGCACGGCTCACTAGCCGCCGGGGTGAGTCTCTCAGGGCGCAGGACTGGCACCGAAGGTCTCCCCTGACAGAGGCGAATGCCATCTGAGGCCCAGGATGCTGCCGGAGAGACAGAGGTGACAGGCTTTCCTTGAAGATAAGCCCTCCTCTGATAAAAACAAAGCAAAAAGCAAAAAATCTTCCGCCTCTTCCACCACTGGCTGTGTAGGCAGTTACCACAGAAAAACGTTCTGATCGTCCCCGTGCAACAGGAAGAGCAGAGCCACGGGTGTGACGGGTTCTCTCTGGCGCCATGCTGTAAGCAGTAAGCTGGACGGAACTGCAACCCTGACCCAATATTCTCTGTATCTCACGTCAACAAGCGGAACCAGCACCTTGAGGCTCCAGCGCCTGTGCACTGCATCCCCCCTCACCTGGCTGCGATGACGGGGACCCACGGGGTCAGCTCATCCGAGTGGTTCCCGATCAGCCAATCGGCGTCAGGGAAGAGGGTCTCGTCGCTCGGGGTGATGGCAGCTTCCTGAAAGGAAGACCCGAGACAGATGGCAGGTTAGGGAACACCGAGCCAGGCAGGGGCGACGGCCCCGCAGAAGCACCGCCTTGCCTGCCCCGTCCTGCCTGGAGGGCTCAGCGCTCGGAGCTCGGGGAGGGGAGACCAGGGCCGGAGTGAGACCTGCACGGACCTGCTGCGGCCAGCCCGAGGGCACGAAACAAGGGCAGCTCCCAGGGCCTCGCCGGAGAAACGAACCTTCCTTGGGCAAGCCTCCTGTAGCCTCACAAGCATACCGGGCCCTGGGGCCGCGCGAGCTGCGCACACGCCAATGCCCTGAGCCCCCGTGTGGGCCGGGACCTTCTGACCCGACGGGCACAATGCCCTCCTGGCTGCGGACGAGGCCGCTTGCACCGGCGGGGGGCTCTCAACACCAGCCTGTGCTCTACCACAGCCGCCCGCCCCTCCCCCCGGCAGGAGTCTGCCCCGGGCCTGCAGACACGGGAAGTGTGAATCAGCCGAGTCACTCGGACCCCTTCAGACCCGAGTTAAAACGCTTTGTTATATGAGGGACCACACGTGCAAACAACCCTGTGCTAGAGCAGAGCATCCACACACAGCACCGGCCTGTTTCTAAAAGAAAACACGATGCCACTGTGTGCCGAGCCCGCGTGCAGAGCAGGGAGCCAGCACCGGAGTGTCCTGGCTCACCACTGGCCCCCGACTTTTGTCATAACTGAGCACGTTCTGAGCGTCCTGCCGCTAGGCAACGTCGCTGACGTGCGAACGCCACCCGGAGTGCCGCTCAGCCGCCCTGGGAGACGGTGCTCCCTGGGCACCAGCACGACGGCTCTTGGCGGAGGCGGAGTGACCCGTACTTCAGCCCACGGTCACGGCTGGGCCTGGCTATCAGGCGGCTGAGAGCAAACGCTGCCCTCTCAGCAGCACGTCTATGGCTCCACGGGGCCCGGCCTGGCCCTCGCCAGCTGCCCTCTGCTCCAGGCACTCCCCGCACCAGGAAGATGCAGTCCCCATGGCAGGCCCCACGCAGACACACAACTCCAGCTCCAGAGGCCAGCATCCTCTCCAGCTGCACGAGAGGCTTTGGAAAACCTAGATGTTCCCCTTTTCCCAAACCTCAGGTGAACAGGCCGGTGAGAACGGGCGGGCGCCATCCCCGGGCCACACACAGCAGTGCCGAGGGCGGCCCCGGGGGGCAGGGTACCTCTAAGCGAGTCTGCGGCCCATACACGTCCCAGATCTTCCTTCTTCGGACATCAACCCCTCTGCCTGGATGCTGAGGGTTTCAGAAAACCAAGGTTAAGTTCTGTCACCAAACCAGATTGGCCCGCAGCACGGCCGTCAGCAGCAAGCACAGGGACCCGCATCGAACCTGGACGTGACAGATGTTTCTCAGAATGTACAGATGCTGCTGGCAGCCACCGTGCGCTTCAGCAAGGGGACGGGGCGGGGGAGGGAGCAGCTGTGGGGGTCTCAGCAAGAGGACAGGGGCGGGGGAGGGAGCAGCTGTGGGGGTCTCAGCAAGAGGACGGGCGGGGGAGGGAGCAGCTGTGGGGGTCTCAGCAAGAGGACAGGGGCGGGAGCAGCTCAGGGGGTTTAGCAAGAGGACAGGGATGGGGGAGGGAGCAGCTCTGGTTGGGAAGGGAGGCACCTTGGCCGTCGGGTTCAGACCACAGGTGGCTCCTCGTCCAGCTCGCATCCCCCCACCCGTCGCCCCAAGCCCATCCTCCTGGTGGCTTGGCACTGGGCACACAGGACCACACTCTGGAACCACACGTGAGCCCTCAGAGGCACTGCATTTCACGCCCTGGCCCCGGCCCCCGTCCCCACCCCCCACCGCCTGGTCACCAGCACCACAGTCCCTCTCAGCAGCAGCTCAGGGAGTGCAGCGACGGGCCCGTCCACGCCCCCGTGAGGGCAAACATGTCTGACCCGCAGGCAGAGGCTACGGCCCGGAGGTCAGCCTGGGCTCACCTCGGGCTTCCAATCCCAGCTGTCCCCGCGAGTGAGGCGGAGCCCGCCGGCTGCGCCAGGGGACCAGGGGGCCGTCCTAGCGCACGGGACTCGCCGGGCAGGTGAGACGGTGGCGGGAGGGGGCGGGTGCTGGGCCCGGTGCAGTGCCACTGCCTACGCCTCGCAGACCGGACAGCGGCTGCCAGCGAGCCCCGCAGGCCACAGCACCAGTGACGGCTGTCCTGGGCTGGACGTCAGCTTCTCGAGGCGGAACCCCCGCCCGTTCCCCTCCAGGAGCTGGAAACGGTGGGTTTCCCGAAGAAGTACTGACACCACCGAGCTGTGGAAGCCTGTCCTGGCCCGCACGCCCCCGAACACCTCCAGTGAGCCTGCCTTTCCCGGCACAGCCACCCGCTGGGCAAGGCGCTGTGGCCGCCAGCCTGCTCGCCTCAGGGGCACCAACAGAAAGCGCTCAGTGAGCCTGTGCCAGGCCTGAGGACGCTCTGGGAAAGGTGCCGCCAGGCCCCGGGCCCGCCTTACCCCCGCCCAGGATGTGGGCCAGGAGACCCCTTACCACGGCCCCCCTGAGTATGTGCGCCAGGAGCCCTTACCCCCCAGGAGCCCTTACCCCTGCCCAGGATGTGCGCCAGGAGCCGCCCCGCTGAGTATGTGCGCCAGGAGCCCTTACCCCCGCGTCGCTGAGTATGTGCACCAGGAGGCCGTTTCCGCAGCCCAGGTCCACGAAGGACTGCTTAGCTATCACGCCCTGTGCGGCTCGCTCTTCTTCCCACAGAACCTAATAGCAAAAACAGTGTGATTCACTCTAACCTGGAAAATCCAGACAACAGCCCCATGTGGGCCTAACTGGTGCTCAGAGGGGTGGGAGGCCTCTGAGGCCCTGGCACAGGTGGGCAGGCGGGTGGGTGTGGGTGGCGCTGCATGCGGCAGGCTCCCTCCTGCCAGCAGTCACATTAAGGGGCCGTCCCAGGGCGGCAGCTGGAAAGCAGCCCCTTCCTTCGTTCTGTTCTCTCACATTTTGTGCACAATCATCACCAAACAAACCGCGCTGTTTCTAAGGAGCCTGAGGATGCCAGTGGAGAGGAAACTGGGAGATGCCTGGTTTAACAGGCGTAGGTAAGAAATCAAAAGCGGCGAGGCAGGGCCGGTCCACACGCAGGTGGGGAGAAGCCGGTAGGCACGCCCCACAGCCAGGCCCCGAGCCTGGGCAGAAGGCGCATCCCCAGATGGTGCCCAGCGCTCCACGCGCCACCAGCGCCCGTTACCGCGGAGTGCTGCTCAGCTTGTCCTAGGCAGGCTGCCCAGCACCCGCGGCCCCCGGGCAAGATGAAGTGAACATTCCGTGTGCACCCAGCCTTGCGGAGCCCTGCCAGCGGCCCTCCCCCACGCCGTGTCCGCCCATCAGTGCGTCCTTACCAGGAGGTAGGCAGCAATAGCCACGTCTTCATACACAAACTTCTCAGGATCCGTCACTTCAGGCCACACCTGAAAAATGTCCGAGGACACGTGTCACTCTCCGCCTCCACCACATCTCACTGAGGACAGTGTAAGGCGGCAGTCACTCTGGGCTCAGGACACAGTAACGTCTAGAAAACACTGGTCAACTTGTTCCCAAGGCAGTGCGAGGCCCTGGCGATGAGACTGCAGGTGCCCGGAGCTGTCTGTGTGTAGAGCTGGCCCTTCGCCAGAGGAGGATGAGCAGCAGGAAGCGAGGTGGGCGGGAGCAAGAGCCGGGCAGGCCCAGAGCTGGCCTGCAGTGATGGCAGTCCCTCCCAGCTGTCTGTCCCGCCCCCGTCTGTAAAGCAGGAATAACCCTCTAACTCCCCCTCAGGATGACCCTGGGTGTGCAAGCATGGGGGTCTCATCGTTAACATGAACAATTGTGGGGCGCGGCTACAGCATTTGCACAGGCTTAAGCCTCGGACTGACGAGCGGGCACAGTCCTCTCGTGGCCACGTGCAAGCCCCAGCGAGGAGGGCGGAGCCTCCCAGCACAGTGACAGCCAACAGCTGTGGTTGTCAGCTTGCACCTATGGTCACGTGGCCCCAGAGCCTGAGTGATAGCAGCTCAAGTAAACAAAGCATGATCAGGTGCATGTAATTGAGCAGGATCAAAACCCACGGAACGTTGTAAGCATCTTGAGCAGCCCTGACTTTGCCTCCTGGCATCTGCCATAAAATAAAGGCATGGCTTGTGGCCCGCTGTGCTGCGGGCTCCAATCGGGGAAGCAGCATCCCACCGAGTCCCAGCTTTCCTTCTCTTGTCTAAGCCTTTCCTCGCCCCCACTCAGTCCACCCTGGGCTGTGCTGGGGAGGCTCAAACAATGGGGTAATGGCCCTGGCCAGTGTGGCTCAGTGGTGGAGCATCAGCCCATGCACTGAGAGGTCACTGGTTCGATTCCCAGTCTGAGCACCTGCCTGTATTGCTGGCTCCATCCCCAGGAGGGGTGTGCAGGAGGCAGCCAATTGATGATTCTCTTTTCATCATTAATGTTTCTACCTCTCTCCCCCTCTCCCTTCCTCTGTCTCTAAAACAAAACAAACACAAAAGCAATAATAACAATGCACAGCACAGGCATCTGGCAGAGATGAAAAGCAATGGCTGATGATCACTGTCCGATGTCTGTCCCAATCAGAGTGGGCCAGACGGTCAGCAGGAACCATCTAAAACTGAAGAGCATGAAAGCCCCCCGAAAGGTACGGACAGTTAACGTGCCCTCCCAGGACTCCGGGGCTGGGTCCAGACCCCCACAGCTTTCAGCAGGAAGGGTGCTGCCCGCCCGGGGCTGAGGGCTGGTCACACAGAACAGGTGACTGACACACAAGGCACAGGGAAAGGACAGATGGCAGCTACTTCGGGGAGGGAGGGAGGGAGGACGAGGAAGAGGAGCCGCCTCAGCTATGCTAATGAGGCCGTACTTCAGCTCCAGTGACTACACCTGTGCTTGTCGGTACCTGCTTTCTGCTTCTTAGCTAGAAAGTTAAGGCCATGTTACAAAAGTTATCTCCTTTCTGTAAGTACCTACTTTTGTACTTTAACTTTCACACATTTTCTTAAAATATCAAAGTTCAAACCAGAGAATTATGGTGACTTAGTAATTTAATGTCCAGTTATTTTAAATTATTTCCCGTTTGTTTTCTTGGGGGAAACTCAGTCATGTGCCAAAGAGCAAGTAAACGCGGTGCTTCCCACCACACAGCTGTGGGCTTTGAGCTCTGCAGCCGGAGCAGCCAGGCCCAGCTGCGCAGGTCAGGGCACCCTGAGGCCTGCGCCTGGGGGACAGGGGGTCTCCCCAGCATTACCTGCACCATGTGCTGGTACTTGTCTTTGAGCTCCTGGTAGGTGCGGCTGTACTTGAGGATGGGGAGGAGGGACAGGCTGCTTTTGAAGCCACTGCTCCCGCTCGCCACAGACCACCGGGCCAGCCTGACCGGCAGCTCTTGCCCAAGCCAGGCGGGTTTGGGATAAACAATCCCATCCGATTGCCATCTTTCTGGACAGAAAATCAAAACAGATATGAACCTTAAAAATAAGAGAAACACGAATAAGCAGAGCTGGTTTCAGTCCTTTTTAAGTTACCTGTTTAACAAAAGGAGAGGAGACAGCTAAATTACACACTATTTCACCCAAACACAAAACCACCGGGAACCCGCTACAGAATGTTCATCTGACAGAAAAACATGTGTAAGCAGCAGAGAGAATTCCCCTTCTCATGCTGTCATGCCCTGCTCGGCTCCTGGCACGGCATTAACCAGCTTACTAACTACCCGCTGTTTCTAAAGCCACGCAGGCCTCGGCAAGGAATAAAAAACTGATACTCCCTCTCCATTACCAAGCTGTGAGAAATGAAATAACCAAGGAGTGAGTTTACTTGAATTCGTTGTAAAACTAAGTGCTGCATGGGATGTAGGGACTCAAGGGGCCCTCCCACCGGCCAGGACCACACCGGGCCAGGCCGCAGCTGGGACAGAATCGTGGGACACGCCAGCAGAGGCACCTTCGCACAGCCCTAACCCCGACAGACCTCAGCCAGCTCCTCCAGGCCGCTCACCGCTGCCGGAGACAGAGCAGCCAGGTACTCGGCTCTTACCAGTCGTCAGCGCTGCGGCTGAGCTGAATCTGATACACGTTGCTCATCTGAACCTTCCAGCTGCCCTGCTCATCTTCTTCCAGAGGCAGGAATGTCACAGCCCCACCGAGCACATCTGGGAAAGAAGCACAGAGAATCGGCTGCTCAGCTCAGCGCCCCATCAGAAGCTGCATTCCGACAGAACGAGCCAGGCGTTGGGCTTTGTCTCCCAGGCTCCCTGCCCTGCTGCCTGCTGCCCCGAGCCCACCCCGTCCTGCAGGAGCAGCCCTCACCCCTCCCCCCCCCCCAGGTCCACAGGGGCACCAGCTCCATGGCAATCAACGGTGGTGGTCCTTGGCACCCTTCACCACAGCAACCCCCATTTTGAGGTCCGATGGAGGAGGAAAACGTTCAGTGCACCACAGCCCAGGAGTGATACAGCCCAGCTGTGAGGCAGCCTGTGTGGTCCAGTTCTGCTCAGGCAGGGGGACAAATATTCCGTGGAAGGGGAGAGTGGCTTTCCGTACCCCATGGGAGCTGGTTTATATAAACACGAGTTCCTGCCCCTGGTCCCTGATTGGTCTTTCCTCATGCAAATGAAGACTCCAAATCTCACAGTATGATTGGTCCAAAAGGCACTGTCTTGATTGGTCAGAACACAGTCACTCCTATAAATGGCTGCCAGCTGTTTTTGTTGGTTTGTTTTTGTGTTTTAATTTGGGCTCCTGTAGCTACAAGGAGCCCTTCTTAGACGGTGTCTGCTTTCTCAGGGCCCTCTCCTCAGTGAGGCCAACCTGAGGATGCAGAGGTGAGATGGAAAAGGTGATCAAACACAGCTGATAAAAGCGGGAAGACCCCTATCCTGGCGGGGCCAGCAGGGCTGCGGAGGGCCTCCTGGAAGTGTTAGGGGTGCAGAGGCACAGGATTGGGGTGGGGGAGGGAGGTACACACCTACCAGCCACTCCGCATTGCTGCGTGCAGACAGAACCACTACCGCAGGTGTCTGCACCCTCATGCCCAGAACCTGTGGCCACACGGTTACATGGCAAAGAGCAGCCTTGGCAGGTGTGGTTCAGGTTACAGACGCAGGAGAGGGAGATATAGGGGGGCTCCATCTGGAGGCGGGAGCGGAGGGATGCCAGAGACCCCGAGGGTGAGCAGTCTTGGGCCCCCGAGACCGGTGTGCCAGAGCCAGCGACGCTCTGCGCGCTCCTCCAGGAGCGGCCTTTCCCGCGCCGCTTTAGCTGCTCCTCCCCACCTGTGGGCCCACGTCCACTGCCTGGCCCCAGGCACCACCAGTCAACACCCATCGTCTGGGCTAAGGACACGCATTCCTCTGCGCCCCTCAAACGGCAGTAACAAGCCTACAGCTTCCCCAGCACAGGGCGAGGTTCAGCCAGTGTTTGTCAACCTAAGGATTCTCCTCTTCACCCAGCTCAGCAGGGTGCTCAGAGCCCCTTCTCCTTGGCCCCACGCTGGCCCCCGAACATCTGAACAAACGCTAGCACGGCTCCCAACAGCTCGCGCTGCATCCCTAGGAGGACCCCAGGCCCCGTTATAGTGCCCGCCTGAGGAAACTCAGACCAACAAATCCACTCTTCCAGCCCGCACCTGGAGGGGCCGGCCTCCGCGTGTATGCGTGCGCGTGTGTACGTGCGCGGGCGGGGCTATAGGAACCCAACTTCCACCTGCTCCAGGTAACAAACACAGATGGGTTTCACATGGATCAACCCCGCCCCTCCTCTCCCTCAAACACGCCCAGGCACACATCCAAGAGTCGGAGCAATCCGGCTGTCTCCTGCTGTGACTGCATCGCCAATTAAAGCCTGTCCCGGCCACCTGAGCGTCGGCTGGTGTACCTGGACGCCTCCGCCATCAGAAACACGCTTACCCTGCGCGACCATCTCCCTCCGCGGCGCAGCGCGCGGGCAGTGCCGGCTCCCCTTGGGGATGACGGTCCTGAGCACCACGTCGAGCTCGTGCGGAGCCTCTGCCCGCAGCCCTGCCCCTGGGCCTGCGAGGAAGGCCAGCATCTCCCGGTGGTCGCCCACGAGGCTCCGGGAGAAATCGTCCCAGAGAGCATCCAGGTCCGGGGCGGGGCCGTCGCCCTCCCCGGGCTGCCCGGGGGCCCCTGCGAGCAGAGGCGCTGCCGCGGCTGCTTCCCTCTCGGTCTCCGCTGCCTGGTGCCAGCCCCGGGACTCCCCGGGGCCTACGCCCGGCCTGGAGCTCGAGCCGCCCTCGGGGGAACGCTGACCGGGTCCCGGTCCCTCCTCGGACCGGCATCCCGCCGCTGCCGACTCCTCCCGCCCGGGGTCAGCGCTGGGCCGGGGGCCGCGGGGCTCGGTCCCGGGCCGGGCCGCGCGCCGCCGGGCCTCCAGGCGGACGCCGCACAGCCGCTTGTTGGCCACCTGCGGCCGCTCCAGCCACACGGCCACCGCCGCCCAGAAGCCGCCCGGGAGCAGCGTGCCGGGGTCGCGCACCGCCGCCCGGCCCACCTCCGCCATGGTCAGCCTGCGCCCCGAGCCTGGCAGCGGCGCGCGGCGATGACGCAGGCGGCGCGGCGTGTGCGTGGTGACGTCACCGGGGCGCGTAGTGGGCGGGGCGAGGACGACAGACCCGCGCGCTCCAGGCCTTGATTCCCAGGCAGGAACCACTGCGGGCTCCAACTTGGGCTTGACGCCGCGCAGTCCGCTCCGGGCGCGCTGGTCCTCGGAGAAGCGGGGTCGGAGCTGAGCTTGCAGCGACCTGGAGGAGCTGCATTTAGGAACGCAGCGGATTGACTCCGTGTGGATGAGAGGTCAAGGTCAAGAACCCCAGGTTGTCAGTGTTCAAGGTTACCCTCTCCCGGAAGCTCGTCCCCCTCCGTTTTCCACCTGGGGTTTTCCTCCTGGGAGAGCTACGGGGGTGCGTTCCTGCGCCCCAGCACGGCCCTGGGGTGTCTCCAGGCAGCTGTCCTCTCCGTGTCCCCGCGGGGAACGGGGCAGGGTGGGGGGCGCTGCCAGTTTGTCGGCATCACCCGCGCCGTCAGCGGAATCCAGTGACAAGGAAAACATCAGAGATGCGTCACTCTTTGGAACATTAGTCCCTCGGTTGGGATTTTGCCCTTCCCGACAGGGTCTTTATTGGAAGCAAAGAGAAGTGAAAACTAACTCAAATCATGAGGTTTATCAGAGAGGAGATAAATGTCCGGAATTCAGCCTAAGACCCATGAGCGATGGAAACTGCCCGGCACTCCTGCTCGCCTGGCGGGCCCTGCCAGTCTCCCACCAGGTAGCTGACTGTTATGCTCAGAGTTTCCTAGGGTTGCCATAACAACAGAGAGTTATTCTCTCCCGGCTCTATGGCTCCTGCCTCTGCTCCTGGGGGTCGCCATCGTCACTAGCTTTCCTGGGCTTGCGGCCACACAACTCCGACCTCCGCCTCCGGAGCCGCGGGGCCTTCCCTGTGTTTCTCTGTCTCTCCTCCGGGGAACAGGGGAGCGGCCCCATGGGGAGGGCGCCGGGAGAGCCCCGGGAGGTTCCGCTCCGCGCGCACATCCCAGGCTGAGTGCTCCGACGCGTTCACGTTTCCCGGGCAACGAGGGGGCGGGCGGCGCGGCGGTGACGTCAGGGCCGGACGGTGGCCGCGAGGCAGTGAGGGCCGGACAGCCCAGTGCATGGAGCTGCGCGCTCGGCACTCCCTCTGCCGCCTTCAGCCCCAAGGACGCGCACGGAGCCCGGGCTGTGGGCGCTGATCGGTGCGCGGAGCCGGCGAACTGGAGTGATCGGTGAGACCCGAAGTTCCAGTCCGCGTCTGCCTGGGGTCGAGGGGGGCGTGGGGACGGCACGTGCAAAGGTCCGGGGGCACCCGGGCAGGGGAGGGGGCTGCTGTGCGCGCCCAGCCATCGCGGAATTGCGGGGCCACAGGAGGGTGAACCCGCGGGACATTATGAAGAATTCGGACTAGTCCCCTAGGTCACGGTGCAGCTGTCACCCAGAGGGGGAGTGATCAGATCTGCATTTTGGAGTCACTTCTTCCTCTTCAGAGAGGAAGGCCGGCAGGATGAGGCCATGGAGGCCAGTTCCATGCTGGGAACGGTGCCAGGTGCCCTCTGCCAATGGCAACAGCCCAGACACCAACTAACCAGTACAGCGAGCCCTTGCCTAACGGCACTGGCTGGCGGGACCGCTGGCCAGCAGGACCGCTGGCTGGCGGGACAGGTTCTGCCCTAAGCCAGCGGAATTACAGGGTAACAGTTGCACCTCGGACTAAAGTCAACCAGAGTAATATTTGTTTCTGCGACTCCAGTCGGCCTCCTGAGGAGACAGCCTGAGGGAAGGGAGTTACAGGAGTACTAGACCCCCGGCAGGCCTCCAGGTGCCCACACCCCACCGAGACACTGAGAGGCGAGGACCTGCTGACCGAGCAGGCGACTTCACGCCACAGGTGAGCTCTGAGGCCCGGCGGTGTGGGGGACCCCTTCTGCGTAGCAGGAGTGTCGGTGACCCGGGAACCCAGGCCGTACTGGTTGCTTAAGGCCCTGGGACTTGGGGTCGGATGAGCCTGGTAACACCTGCCTGACCTCGGACAGCTGGTTTCACTTTCTTTTTCCACCCCTACCCAAGGATTTTTTTAAAACAATTATTTCTAGGAAGAGTGGATCGGGGAGGGGGGATAGAGAGAGAAACATTGAAACAGAGACACATGGATTGGTTGCCTCCCACACAGGTCCCCACCAGGGCTGGGGAATCTGCAACTGAGGTACGGGCCCCCAACCAGGACTCCAACCCGGGACCCCTTCATGGCACCAGCCGCTGCTCTGACCGAGCGAAATGGGCCAGGGCTGTTTCACCCTCAGCAGCGGGAGCACCGTTCGTCCTGGTGATGCCACACGGCTGGGGCTTCTGCTGGCGGCAGGGATTGCCCGATGACCGGGGGTCACCGTGCTCCACTCAGTGGAGGAGAGGCGGGGAAGGTTCCGGAGGCGTTAGGAGGGGAGTGTGGGCACGGGGCACGGACAAGGGGGTTCCGGACAGCTGGCTGTGGATCGGCCTGCGGGTCGGGCTGGTCAGGGCCGAGGAGCGCCCAGCGTTGGGCATGCCGAGTTCAAGGGCCTCCAGGCCGGGAAACTGCCCGTGGGGGTGGATTTGGAGCCTCTGGCAGGGGGACCACGGCCTGTTGACCTTGGCACTGCCCAGCCCCAGGGCTGCCCTTTGCCCCCTCCGCCCCTCGCCACCTTTGTCCCAGGAGATCCGCCCCCCTCCATGTGGGGAAATGGACATTGGCGCTCGGCGTGGCCGTTCTCGGCGGCCCCCGGCGTTCTGCTCTCGGCCGTCCCGCGTTGCGCACACAGTTGCTCGCGGTGCGTGAGCAGAGACAGGCTCCCGACTCAGGCTGATTTCTGTGCAGGCCGACGGCGGTGAGCGATGGCACCCAATGAGGAAGGAGGCGAGGAGGCCCTGCTCCCCGACCTCCCCAGGGGCCCCCTGGATGCCTACCGCGCCCGCGCCTCCTTCAGCTGGAAGGAGCTGGCGCTGTTCTGGGAAGGCGAGGACATGCTGCGGCTGAAGGTGAGGCTGCGGCCGGGGCAGTGCTGGGCTGACCCCGGGGGGCGGAGGTGGGCGGGCTGACGGGGGGGGGGGGAGGGGGGAGCGGAGGTGGGCGGGCTGACACGGGGGGGGGGGGGGGGGTGCGGAGGTGGGCGGGCTTACCACGGGGGGGGGGGGGGCGCGGAGGTGGGCAGGCTGACACGGGGGGGGGGGGGGGAGGTGGGCGGGCTGACATGGGGGGGCGGAGGGGGGAGGCGGAGGGGGGCGGGCTGACGGGTGTGTGTGTGTGTGTGTGTGTGTGTGTGTGCGCGGAGGTGGGCGGGCTGACACGGGGGGGGGGGCGGAGGTGGGCGGGCTGACACGGGGTGGGGGGGGGCGGGGGTGGGGGTGGGGGCGGAGGTGGGCGGGCTGACCACGGGGCATCTGGTGGCGTCCCCGGTCATTGGTAAAGATGGGGCTTTGTGTCCTCACAGCTAAAAGGCTTTGCTGGGCCTCAGTCCCTCTGTGAGGGGTGCTGTCTCGGGATGCAGCCCAGGCCTGACCCCTGGTTGGGGAGCCTCCAGGCGTGGCCAGGCGCCAGGCTGGACGCAGACGGTGGAGCTCGCCTTCCCCGGGAAGGGCTGTCCGCTCCGTCCGGGGTTCCTGGGCCGGACCGTGTGTCCCGGAGCCTCAGGAAAAGCCGCCGGAGGGGGAACCCCGTGGGATGGCACCGGGGCCCCCAAACGGCCGCTGTCTGTGCCCTCCTTCCAGAAGTCCATCTTCTCGGCCCTGGAGAGCGACCCCGTGTTCGCGCGGCCAGACCGGGGCCTCCCGGTGGAGCGGCTGCGGGAGCTGACCTTCCTGCGCTGCCGCCGCCTCCTGCAGCTGGACGTGCTGCGCGCGGACGCGCTGCTGCGGAACCCCCTGCAGCTGCTGGCGCTGATCACCGGCCTGGGCATGTACGACTGGTCCCTGGCCGCCAAGGCCTTCCTGCACGCCTTCGTGAGTAGGCGGGAGGGGCGGCCGGGCCACCACGCCGCCCGGGCTGTGGCGTGTGGGGTGCAGAACTCGCCGGGCGGCTGGGGTGGTTTACTTGCGCTTAAAGTTTCCTGAGATGTAGGCGTTGGGGGATCTCACTTAGAGATTCTAAAATGCCTGCGGGGACAGTGGCAGGGGGAGCGGGCAGGTGTCCGTGCTCAGTGGGAAGCTCCAGGTTCCCCTTTATGCTGGCTGGCACGGAGCTCTTAGATGCCAGGGATGTGGTCGGCAAACTGCGGCTTGTGAGCCACATGCGGCTCTTTGGCCCCTTGAGTGTGGCTCTTCCACAAAATACCACGGCCCGGGCGAGTCTATGTTGAAGAAGTGGCGTTAGAAGAAGTTTATGTTTAAAAGATGTGGCTCTCCAAAGAAATGTCAATTGTTGTGCTGTTGATACTTGGCTCTGTTGGCTAATGAGTTTGCCGACCACGGCCCCAGAGGAAGAGCCCTGTGGGCCTTTTTGGCTTCACACACATTCACATGCACACACATACAGGCACACATACACACACGCACACTCACACACATACACACACGCACACATACACTTACATACACATGTGCATGCACACTCTCACATGCACACACACACACACACCAAACAAACAGAAATCAGCCACCACCAAACAACCTGAAACACGAAAACATAATGAACAAAACCGCTTGGCGCGTCACGGGTCCGCCCGCCGCTGTCGGAGGGAAGCGGCCCGCTTTGCCCTCTCGCACCCTCCTCCCGCCCTCCGTCCTGCCCCTGTCCGTCCAGTCCCTCGGGGTCCTGCAGGCACGTGAGTCCAGGTGACTGCTGAACCTTCATAAACGGCCCGGGTGGGCCCAGGCTCCCCCGGGAGCTAGTGTGACGGTGGTTGGCGCTCAGGGCTGCGGGGCTGTTGGACCCGTGGGTGCGGGCCAGCCAGGACAGCGCGCTCACCAGCTTCCACCTGTGGGTGGCGATGTTACATTTCAGGTGTTTGGATCAGCGATTTTCAACTCCGGTTCTGAGAGGCATCTCAAATACATTCCGAAGATCTTCAACATGGAGGTCAGTGGGGGCGGTGTGAGCCAGGACCTCTCACCTGTCCTCTGAGGTTCGTGGGAGAGCTGCGGGGGGCCGGGGGCAGGGGGCGGGGACTCGCACCCTAATGAACGGTGATCTCGTTCTCTCCAGCAGTTAATGCTACTCTGGACAGACTGGGTCTGTCCCAGCGCTGAAGGAATTTAGCTTTTTCTTGTTTATTTTTGTTCATCCTCGCCAGAGGATAGTTTTTTACTGATTTTCAGAGAGAGAGGAAGGAATAGGGAGAGACAGAGAGAGAAACATCGATTGGTTGCCTCCTGTATGCGCCTCATCAAGCCTGCAACCCAGCCACCCATTCTTGGCCAGAATCGAACCCTGACGGCCAGGGCTCCATCCACTGAGCTAAACTGGCTGGAGCTAGCTTCTTCTTATCAAAGCAAAGCCCCGTGTTCTGTGCTGCCCGGGCACGGCTCTGGCCACTGGGTGACTGAGCCGGGCCCTGTGGGCACGTCTGGGCGGCTGGCAGCCGGCACAGCAGAGGGGCGTGTGGGTCGCTGGAGGTGCATGTGAAGTCACTGTGGGGGAGTGGTGAGGTCACTGGGGGGGAGTGATGAGGTCACTGGGGGTGTGTGAGGTCATTGGGGGGTGTGTGAGGTCATTGGGGGGTGAGGTCATGGGGGTGTGGTGAGGTCACTGTGGGGGAGTGGTGAGATCACTGGGGGGAGTGGTGTGGTCACTGGGGGAGTGGTGAGGTCACTGGGGGGTGTGAGGTCACGGGGGGAGTGGTGAGGTCACTGGGGGGAGTGGTGAGGTCACTGGGGGTGTGAGGTCACTGGTGGGGAGTGGTGAGGTCACTGGGGGGGAATAGTGAGGTCACTGGGGGGAGTGGTGAGGTCACTGGGGGGGTGAGGTCACTGGGGGGAGTGGTGAGGTCACTGGGGGGGAGTGGTGAGGTCACTGGGGGGGAGTGGTGAGGTCACTGGGGGGGAGTGGTGAGGTCACTGGGGGGTGTGAGGTCACTGGGGGGAGTGGTGAGGTCGCTGGGGGGAATGGTGAGGTCACTGGGGGGGAGAGGTCACTGGGGGGAGTGGTGAGGTCACTGGGGGGTGTGAGGTCACTGGGGGGAGTGGTGAGGTCGCTGGGGGGGAATGGTGAGGTCACTGGGGGGGAGAGGTCACTGGGGGGGAGTGGTGAGGTCACTGGGGGGTGTGAGGTCACTGGGGGGAGTGGTGAGGTCGCTGGGGGGGAGTGGTGAGGTCGCTGGGGGGGTGTGAGGTCACTGGTCGGTTAGGTGGTAGGAGATGGGACTTTCTTCGTGGTCTCAGGGTTCCGGGGCTGCGGAGGAGCCGGTCCCCTGACGCTGTGCTGCCCGCCCGCCCCGTAGATCTTCGGGTGCTTTGCGCTGACCGAGCTCAGCCACGGCAGCAACACCAAGGCCGTGCGGACCACCGCCCACTATGACCCGGCCACCGAGGTAGGCGCTCCGCCCGCCCGCCTCCGGGCTGGGGGGCGGGAAGGTGGTGCAGGGGGGGGGGGGGGGGAGACACACCAGAGTGAGTCCCTGAGACCCGCCTTCACACACGCGGTCCCCGAGTGCACCGGGGCGGGCTCACGGCTGGGCGGTCAGCGAGGGGCCTGGCGGGAGAGGGCGGCCAGGGCCTCCCCACAGGGACACCACCCGGCGGCCAGCTGCGCATTTTGTGTGGGTGAAGTTGTTTGACATGTTGGACACAGTTTTCTTTTCTTTTTTGCTTTAGTGCTCACCCGAGGGTGTTTTTATTGGTTTTTAGAGAGAAAGGAAGGGAGAGAAACACTGATGTGGGAGAGAAATTTCCGTCAGTTGCATCCCATATGTGCCCCAGCTGGGGATCAAACCCACAACCTCTTCTTTTTAAAAAAATATATTTTATTGATTTTTTACAGAGAGGAAGGGAGAGAGATAGAGAGTTAGAAATATCACTGAGAGAGAAACACCGATCAGCTGCCTCCTGCACACCCCCTACTGGGGATGTGCCCGTAACCAAGGTACATGCCCTTGACCGGAATCGAACCTGGGACCCTTCAGGCTGCAGGCCGATGCTCTATCCACTGAGCCACACCGGTCAGGGCCGAACCCACAGCCTTTAAAGGCCGGGCACCGGCCTCGTTCTCCGTGGGGAGTCGGTTAGGCCGTCCGGCCCGGGGGCCGCTCCGCCCCGAGTGAAGAGGCCACGCTGCCCTCAGGGACACACCAGAGACACGCTGAGACCTCCCGGCGGTCCTCACTCTCGCCGCGAAGCTCGAACACAGACTCCCGGAGGCACGGGCGCCCGCCCCCAGGCGGACCGCCGGCCGGAACCTTCTCCCTCCGCAGGAGTTCGTGCTCCACTCCCCCGATTTCGAAGCCGCCAAGTTCTGGATCGGCAACATGGGCAAGACGGCGACGCACGCCGTGGTGTTCGCTCAGCTGTGTGTGCCGGGCGGCCAGTGCCACGGCCTGCACCCCTTCCTCGTGCAGGTGGGCAGCGGGCCGGTGGGGACGCGGTCATCGCCGGGGGCGGGGCTGCCGGCGTTCCTGTGCAGACAAGGATGCCACTGAGATCCTACAGCACTGGGGGCGGGTGGGGGGGTCCCCTGGGAAAGGACCGTGCCCCCGAGGACCAGCTGCTGCGGAGCCCTGGGACGGGGTCACGGGCGGAGGACCTCCCTGTCCCAGCGGCCACCTGGGCGTCGTCTCAGACACGCGGCGCAGGTCCTGACCGCCCGGCCAGGTCTCTGCCCGTCTCCTCTCGCGTCCTGTCCTCTCTGGCTCGCCTGGGACACGGGCTGCACACGTTGGTTCTGGGTCTGTGCTCAGCGTGCTGTGTTCTGTGTGTGCGCAGATTCGGGACCCGAAGACCCTCCTCCCCATGCCCGGCGTGATGGTGGGCGACATAGGGGAGAAGCTCGGGCAGAACGGCCTGGACAATGGGTGAGTGCACCGAGCTGTGGCGGGCCTGCCTCCCCCGACCAGTCCTGTCGGTGACGAGCTCAGCACGCACCGGTGTCCCCGCTGCTCCAGGTGGAGGGGGTGCGTAGCGTGGGCTCCAGGGCTGGGAGGGGAGGCCCGGCAGGGGGCGTCCGTGGGAGTGGTCATCTTGGTCGCCGGCCCCAGCCTGTAAGGGTCAGTGACTTGTCTGGGGTCCAGGGCTCATCCCTCTTCCTCCTGCTGTGGAGCGTACGCCCAGCAGAGGGCGCTCGGTGCTAGGGACAGGGAATGCTGGTGTCCGGGCTTGCCTGCTGTGGCCTCTAACTCTGCCAGCAGCCAGCACGTTAGAACCGAGTGACTGGGTTTGGGCTGAGGTCCTTATCTTGGAAACATAGGTCGGGCTTGGCCATTTCACAGGAACATCAGAGGATGTGGGAGGACTGGAAATTAGGGCAAACGTGACTGGTGTGGGTACTAAAGCCGAACGAAGGCCCTGCCGTGGGCGTTCGGCTCCGACCCTGCGTGGGCAGAGGCCTCCTCACGGGGGCGCGGAGGCGCGGGGCCCTGGGCGCGGGGGCCGCCTCGACAGCGGCCCAGGGCGACCCTGGCCGGGCCGCGCGCTTGTGCGGTGCCCGGGGGCCTGGCCTGGCACCCGCAAGCTCCCGGCGCACGCCCCTCCCCGGGCCACTCCACGCCACACGCACACCCTGTGCCCTCTGGACACGGGCTGGGCCTGCAGGCTGGCCGGGCGCAGCCCTTGTGGAGGGAGATGCTCATGCTCTCGGTGAGCCGCGGACGGCGAGCCCTGTGCCCGTGCACATACTCAGGCCGTCCCGTCTCGGGGTGAGAAGGGCCGTGTCCCCTGGCGACGTCGGGCACGGGCCCGGTCGCTGGCCAAGGCCCTCCTCGGCTTCTGGTGACAGCGTCACTCGGTGGCACTGAGCCCGCCCTTGCAAACCACCTATCAGAGCGGAGGCCCCCGATAGGCCTCCTGGGGCCTGGGGCCCCCCCTCGGCCAGTCAGAGCACCCCACAAGGCCCTGGCACCGAGGCTCACCCACAGGCCCCGGGGCGCCGAGGCCTGCCCAGGGCCTTGGGGAGCCCGCAGAGGCTGGCCCCGGCCTGGGCGCCTGCAGGGCCTGGTGGCCGCTGAGTGCCTGCCTGCAGGCGTCCTGTCGCTTCCTGGAAAGGAGGGTCACAAGCAGACAACCTGCTGCAGGCCTGGAGGAGGCCCGGCCCTTGGCGCAGTAGCGGGGCCCCTCCAAGGCCTCACACTGTTTTTGGGGTTCAGGTTGTAGGGTGGAAGGTCTCGGGCAAGGCCGCTGCTGTGCGCCCGGGACAGGCTGGGGGCCGGCAGGAGTGAGGGCAGCTGCTGCAGGCGGGCAGGCGGGGGCACCAGCAGGGCAGAGCTGGGGCCAGGGCCCTGGTGGGTGGAGGGGAGGATGGGAGCAGACGGGGCGCGGCGGGGCAGGCACAGCCGTGGGGGGGGGCTGTGGTAACCCGCTCCCTGCCCGCAGCTTCGCCATGTTCCACAAGGTCCGGATCCCGCGCCAGGACCTCCTCAACCGCACCGGAGACGTCACCCCCGAGGGCACCTACGTCACCCGCTTCCAGGTACGGCGTCGGCCCGGGCGCCGGGGCGGGTGGCAGGCCTCGCAGGTTTGGGTTCCGGTGCCACCCGCAAGGAAGGTGGTGCTTGGGCCAGCCACCCCCGGGGTCCGGGCGACGCCAGCTGCTGGCTGACGGTGCCCGCCGCCTCCCCTCCCCCGCCGCCCGGCCAGCCCTCGGGGTGATTGGGGAGCCCCGCCTAACATGGGGTGCAGAGGTGGAGGTGGCTTGGTCCACAAAGGGGGCTGCGAGTTCCCTGGGGTCTGGGGCTCGGTGCCCTGTGCTCCGTAGGGCACGGCACTGGCGCTTGGAGCCGAAAGCGAAGCTGAAACATGGGCGCCCACAAGGCGACTGTCGCTTTAAGAGGAACACGAATGAGCATCACGCCCTTTAACATGGGGGCGCTCGGGGGGAGAGGGATTGGGCGTCCTGGGGGCCAAAGGCAGGTGTCCTTTAAATGAAACGTGGGCTCCAGCCGAGGACTGTCCGTCCGGGGCAGCCCACCTGCACATCTGGTCTCAGCCAACACACGGTCCCGCCCTGGTGGGCGCCTGCAGACTCCCTCCCCGGGACCCTCCCTGTGGAGCCGAGCACCCCGGGGCCTCTCCACCCGCCCCCTGAGGGTTCTATCAGGCCCGGCTCCCTGCGCCGGCTGCCTGCCCGGGGCCCGAGGGAGGAAGGAGCGCCCCGGTGGGCCTGTCCCTGCACGCCGAGGGTGGCCGTGCTGACCGCCCCTCTCCCCGCAGGACAGCCGGCAGCGCTTCGGCGCCTCGCTGGGCGGGCTGTCGGCCGGCCGCGTCTGCATCGTGGGCATGGCCGTGGCCAACCTGAAGCTGGCGGTGTGCATCGCCCTGCGGTTCTCGGCCACACGGCGCCAGTTCGGGCCGGCGGACGGGGAGGAGGTCCCGGTGCTCGAGTACCAGCTGCAGGTCGGCCCCCCAGCCGGTCACTGCGTCCCCTTCGCGCCCACAGACAGGCTCTGCCCCGGGAGCTGCCTTTGGGCTGCTGGGAGCCGAGCAAACTGTCTGCAGGCCCGGAGCCGTGGGCGGCCACAGGGAGGGAGCGGGTGGCTCCTGGACCTGGAGTGGAAGGCAGGACCCTCCTGGCCCCGGCAGCGCCCCAGCCACAGCCGCACTGGCCAGGGCTCCTGCTGGTCTTCAAGGCGAGGAGGTCCAGTTCACAGGGGACGGGTGGGGGTGGGAGAGGTGGTGGGGGTGAGTCTTAGGGTCGGCAGGGACTCCTGTCGGAGGTTGCAGCGAGGTCTGATCCGGACCTTGGGCTGAGCCGAACGTGGGGAGCGTGTTGAGTGACTCCCCCAGCTGATCCCCGAGCGCTTCCTGCGCTGTGGCTGCGAGCCTGCCTCCAGCGGGTCAGAAACGCTTGCCTGCTCGTCCCCACCACCTGAACCCCTCCCCCCTCCTGCCGTGGCCCGTCCCCACCACCGCTGACCCTGCGGCCTCAGGAGGTTGCCGCCCCTCGGCCTGCCCGGGCATCGGCGGCTCAGCGGTGGGGAGCCCACGGGGGCCAGTGCTGGGCTTCGCCCGGGGCCGCGGCCACGCTGAGTGCCCTCAGCCAGGCCCTGGGCCTCTGCGCTCGTGTCCTCCCCTGTGAACTGGCAGGACCCCATTCTGGGTTGTGTAAGGATCAGACACGCGGGTACAGAAGAAGCAGGCGGCACAGTGTCGGGCACATGACATTGGGCACCAACCACGGGGGTGGCGGTTCCCAGGCCCTGCCCGGCTCCTCCCCAGGCCCCGCCCACGCGGCCCTGCCCGTGTCCTGGCTGAGCCGCTCCCCGCCTCGGCCTCTGGCTCTCACAGCCTTGGTGTCCCATCTGCCTCCTAGGCTCACGGGCACCGGGCACCACGGGCCTGCTGTGCTCTGGGCACGGCAGGCCGGCGGGCAGGCTCCCGGCGGCTGGCCCGGTGCCGGCATCGCCGTGGGCGGCGGGAGGGCGGGCGTGTGGCTGCACAGGGCACAGCGGTGTCTGTGTGGGCGGTTTGGCGGGAGAAGAGCCGGCAAGCATCTCGGAAGACACGGCGGACCTCGCCGTCCCGGGCGTGGGGCTGACTTCCACAGCTCCTGTCTCGGGGCGTCCTCGGAGCGCCCGGGGCACGGGTGGGGAGCGGGTGGCTCACGCCGGTGTGTCTGCCGGCTGCAGCAGTGGCGCCTGCTCCCATACCTGGCGGCCGCCTACGCCTTGGACCACTTCTCCAAGTCGCTCTTCGTGGACCTGGTGGCGCTCCAGCGGGGCCTCTATCAGGACAACCAGAGCGCCAGGCAGGTGAGAGGACTCGCTTTTAAAAATGTTTCTATTGATGCCAGAGAGGAAGGGGGAGAGAGAAAGAAACATCAGCGACGAGGGAGCAGCATGGACCGGCTGCCCCCTGCACGCCCCACACTGGGGATCGAGCCTGGAACCAGGGCCTGGGTCCTGAGCGGAGTGACGCTCAGCCACGGAGCCGCACCAGCCGGGATGAATCCCCGGTGTTCAAGCGGGAAGTGGGGTGCTGCCTCCTGTGGAGGGGGTGTTGGGTTACACTGGAGGCTTTGCCGCTCCGGCGCCCTGGGCGCCCTCCGGTGTCAGAGCCTCTGCTCACCGCTCCCTCGGGCTCGTCCCCCAGGCCGAGCTGGGACGGGAGGTCCACGCCCTGGCGTCGGCCGGCAAGCCCCTGGCCTCGTGGACGGCCCAGCGGGGGATCCAGGAGTGCCGCGAGGCGTGCGGGGGACACGGCTACCTGGCCGGTAGGTTCTGGAGAAGCGAGTGACCGTGTCCTGTCCTGACCCTCCCACGCGGCTCCAGACCGGGGGTCAGCACCCTGGGCCTCCGGGGCCAAACCGGCTGCCGCCGGCTTCATGGCCATGCCTTCCCGCATGTCCCACGGCCCTGCTCCCAGCTGTGGCTCAGTGGTCCTGACAGAGCCGGAAGGTCGCTGTCCGGCCCTTCCCGCACGTTTGCCGCCCCCCTGCCCTGGACGCTCCCCGTGTTCTGATGCCCGGATTCCTAGAAACCTGGAACTCGGGGTGCTGGGGTGTGGAGGACACAGGGGCGCCCCTAAACACCAGAGAGGGGAGGAGATCACCTCTTCATTTCCATCGTGACTTTCTGGTTAACGATGAGGCTGTACATCCACATCAGCTGCTGTTCCGATGAGAAACTTCATCAGGAAGAAGTCTCAGTGGCCCCGGCTGGCAGCGGGGCAGCCGGCACGTGGGTAAAAGAGCGGGACCCCGTCCTGGCTCTGCCCTCGGCCCCTGCCTCCGCAGAGCCTCAGCGTTCCCCTCTGTGAAATGGGTGCGCGCCCCCCCCCCCCCCCCACACGAGGAGGTTCTTGCGCGGATAAGGAATTAACACACGCACAGCGGCCGGCCGGCCTGCGCGGGCGTCCAGGCCGTGCTCGGGAGCTTCTGCCGGCCGTTGTGACGGGAGTGACCGTGGTGACAGTCATGTCGCTGCAGCGGCCCCCAGCTCCCCGGGGCCCCGCCTCCAGTCGCTGCCGGGTGAGAACCGTCCCTCCGGGAAGGCTGTGTGCACGTCGAGCGTCAGGCTTGGCAGAGCCGGCGCCCACACCTCTGGCCGCGGCACCCCGGGGCGGCGGGGGGGGGGGCAGTCACCTCCCGCGGGGCCTGCCCGGCGTGGCCTACGCCCCGCGCTCCGCCTCGGCACCAGGCGAGCTGGACCCCGGCTCACACGGGCCGCCTCCGTGCTCCGTCTCCCGCGAGATGCTCTTTGTTCGTCGTCGTAGCTCTGGGAGACGCCGGGGCTGGTGCGGAGTGAGGGCATGGAGCCCTGCAGCGCAGACCCCAGAAACGCCCCGAAGCGGCTCACCCCGGGCCGGGTGCAGGGCGGGCGGGCGGCCCCGAGGCTTCCCTGCGATGGCCTCCCGCCCTCCCTGCGGCGTCCGGCCCGGGCAGGGCCGTGAGCCTGGAACAGTCCATCCCTGTGATGGGAGCCACATCTAAGGCGACCGGACGTCCTGCTTTTGGCCGGACAGTCCCGATTTTTAACAATTGGCCCCGCGTCCTGCGGCGATTTCCCAGAAATCGGGACTCCTTAGAAACGCCGCGGGACGCGGGACCAACTGTTAAAAAGCGGGACGTCTGGTCGCCTTAGCCACATCCCAGCAGCACGTGACCCTGAGGAGCCGAGTCCGCTTTCCCAGCCGGCCCCTCCCCCAGCCGGGGTCCCGAGGGCACGCCGTGCAGAACACGTGACAGAACCGGGTCACTGACTGGCAGGAGAGACCACGAAAGAAGTTTCCTTCGGAGGGGGGCTCCCGTGTGGACGAGGGTTCACTCAGGACCCCACGCTGCCGGCGGCTTCTGCCAGGGCCTGCGAGGACGGGCGCTGCGGACGGCGAGCCTCTGAACCTTTAATCTAATTCTTCCCGCACCTTCCGTCCCCGTGCCCTCCGCACCCCCCCCTCCCCCCGCCCGCGATCCCACCTCCAGAGGTTCTCTCTCCTCTTTGTGCTCTCCCCTCCACCGACCCTGCCTCTGCCGCGTGCTCACGGTGGCCCGCTGTGCCTCCTCGGGGCTCTCGCCAGCACCCCCTGGGCTGAGCCACTGCCCCAGCGGCTGGCCGGCGGGCTGGGAGGGGAGGGGCGTGGAGCAGGTGCTGCGTCCCCGGCCCACCTGGGGGCACGGCACTCCCAGGGCGACGGCCTCCCCCGCGGGCACCGGAGGTGACGGGACCTGTGCTCCTTGCAGTGAACCGCCTGGGCGACCTCAGGAACGACAACGACCCCAACTGCACGTACGAGGGCGACAACAACGTGCTGCTGCAGCAGACCAGCAACTTCCTGCTCGCGCTGCTGGACCGTGAGGGGGAGCCAGGTGAGCTCCACTCGGGCTGCTGGACAGTGGGGGGGCGGGGGGGAGCCAGGTGAGCTCCACTCGGGCTGCTGGACAGTGGGGGGGCGGGGGGGAGCCAGGTGAGCTCCACTCGGGCTGCTGGACAGTGGGGGGGTGGGGGGGAGCCAGGTGAGCTCCGCTCGGGCTGCTGGACAGTGAGGAGGGGGAGCCAGGTGAGCTCCGCTCGGGCTGCTGGACCGTGAGGGGGAGCCAGGTGAGCTCCGCTTGGGCTGCTGGACCATGAGGGGGAGCCAGGTGGGCGCCCGCTCGGGCTGCTGGACCGTGAGGGGAGCCCAGTGTGCGCCCGCTCGGGCTGCTGGACTGTGAAGCGGGGTCCAGGTGGGCGCCCGCTCGGGCTGCTGGACTGTGAAGCGGGGTCCAGGTGGGCGCCCGCTCGGGCTGCTGGACCGTGAGGGGGGCCCAGTGTGCGCCCGCTCGGGCTGCTGGCTTGGGGGAAGGGGGAGGAAGCTGAGGCTCCGCGGAGCTCCGGTGGCCCTGACCTCACAGGGGCGTGGGTTCCCGGCCCCCAGAGGGAGCGCTCCGCCCAGATGGCCATGTGCGAGGGAGGGAGGGGCCCCGGCGGCCCCGGTGACCGAGTGCTCCTAGGTGGCGCCCGCTTCGAGAGCCCGCTGAAGAGCGTGGACTTCCTGGCAGCCTACCCTGCCCTGCTCAGCCGGCGGTTCGCGGCGGCCAGCCTGCAGGACTGCCTGGACTCCGCGGGTAAGCCCCCCGCCCCGTCTGCGCCAGGCTGCCGGCGGGCGGCCGTGCCAGGAGGGCCCGGGTGTCGGCCGATGTGCCTCCTGTCTCCCAGCGTCTCCCCGTGCCCACGCTGAGCCGGCATGGGCGCCAGCCATGGGGCCTCGGGCCCGCCCCACCCCTCCCCTTCCTGCCTTGGTGCCCCTGCGCCCAGGGAACAGCGGTTGCCGCCTGTCGGGCTTTCCCGAGAACAAGGCGCTAATGCACAGGCGGCCGTCTCCAACGCCCAGCCTCCCCATCCAGGTGCCCGATCCCACCGCCCGCAGATCCCGGAGCCTCTGCTGTGGGGGCCCCAGTATGCATGTCCCCTGGACGCCCTGGTCCCGGGCCGGCCTCCTGTGCCTGCTGCGCCCACATGCACCCCCCCTCGCGCCGTCCCTCTGACCCCGGGCGCAGGGACTGACCTCCGTGTGCCCGCTGTGCCCGCACGCACCCCCCCCCTCACGCCGTCCCTCTGACCCCGGGCGCAGGGACCGGCCTCCTGTGCCCGCTGTGCCCGCACGCACCCCCCCCCCCCCTCACGCCGTCCCTCTGACCCCGGGCGCAGGGACCGGCCTTGCACGGGCGCCAGGGCAGCGTCATCTGTTTTCCTCCGAGTGCCCCAGTTTTTGCGAGATCCAACGACACATTTTCAGGAGGAAAAAAACACAACTGCAGTTCCCGTGGCCAGAGCGGCGTGGCACCGCCCGGCCTCCTCCCCGAGCACAGAGGGGAGCGCCCGGCCAGCCCCGTCCCCCCGGGGCATTCGGTCATCGGCCACAGCCCCGCCTTCGCCCCAGCTGGCCCCGGGAGCCGCCGGAGATTTACGACGGGAGCCGGAGCGGGAGGGCGGCCGAGGCCTCTGCAGCATGGGCGGAGCGGGCGGGGCAGGAGCTTCCCCTGGGACTCTGAGGGTTATGGGGAGGGAGGGGCAGGTCCGCCCGGGCCCTGAGCACGCACACGCGTGTGCGGGGATGGGCTTCCCACAGGGCCCGCTCCGGGCCTGTGCCCACTGAGCGATGCCAGGCCACTGTGCGTGGCTCTTTGCAAAAGCGTTAAGTAGTTGCAGCTCTGAGCGTTTGCAGTTCCGACAGCCGTGTGCACCCCGCAGTGTGCCAAGCCGGGCACCTGGCCCTGTGCCTTGGGGTGCCTTGGAGTGGGCGCGGGCCCACCCAATTCAAGACGAGACCCCCAGCTATTTGCAAAGACTCGGGCGTGCGGGCACCTCCGGCCGGGTCCTCCTCGGAGGGGGGAACGTTTCGAGGGCAGGTGCTCTTGGGGCCCCGGGCTCGGGACGTTCCTGGTCGGTAGGAACCCCCGGTGGCAGGTCAGCCGCAGCCCACCCTGTGCCGGAGAGTCGTCCTGATGCCCAGGCCCGTGCCCGGGGTCACCGAGGGCACTGAGCCCCGGCCGGCGTGTGGCCGTCAGGGAGGGCCACGCGGGGGGTGCTGCCAGGAGAGGGGGGCGGGGGGTGGCTCCTCAGCAGGAAGCGCCCTCCCCGGGCCTGTCCCGCCACCACCGGTCCCCGCTGGGCCTCGGTTTCCCTGTCTGTAAGCCGGACCCACCTCACCCGCCCATCAGTACACGCAGGTGCTCCCCCTGCTGGGAGCTCGGGTTTGTGAGCACCGGGCCCGCTGGGAGCCCGGCGGTCACGGCCCTGTGCCCTCCCCAGTCCCCCTGGCGGCGTACGAGTGGCTGGTCTGCTACCTGCTCCGAGAGAGCCATCAGAAGCTGGCTCGGGAGAAGCGAGCCGGGGGCAGTGACTTTGACGCGAGAAACAACTCCCAGGTGTGTGTCCTATTCCCCCAGTGCCAGCGCTCCGGCCGGGCCTGCGGGGTGGAGCCCCCTGCGGGGCTGCGCTTAACGTGCCCGCTGGTGCCCGCCCCGTGGCCGGAGCGGGGCTACTGGAGGGGCCGTGGGGTGCACGGACCTCAGGGTCCCAGAGGGGCCGGGCACAGGCGGTCCCGCCCAGCGGAGTGGCAGGGGGGATCGGTGAGGCTCGCCGCTGCTCAGTCCTTGTCCCCCTCCCCCGGGCCCCGGGGCCACGGTCAGGGCTCACACTGAGCAGCCTGACGGGTCCTCGCGTCCTGGGAGCCGCAGCAGGAGCCGTGCACTGACTGCAGCCTCGCCGTGGGCACGGCCTCTCCTAACCAGCTCCAGGGTGGTCGCTGTGACATGGCCGGCAGGCCCGGGAGGTCCCAGCCGGGGTCACCGAGGGGTCCCGGTCATGGGGGGTCACCGGGTCATCAAGGGGTCCCAGCTGGGATCACCAGGAGGGTCACCGAGGGGTCCCAGCCGGCTCACCGGCGCGGGGCCTCTGCCGCAGGCTTACTGCTGCCGCCCGCTGGCGCTGGCCTTCCTGGAGCTCACGGTGCTGCGCCGGTTCCACCAGCACACGCGCCAGCCCGGCGTGCCGCCCCCGCTGCGGGCCGTGCTCCGGCGGCTCAGCGCGCTCTACGGCCTGTGGTCCCTGAGCCAGCACTCCGCCCTGCTGTACCGAGGTGAGGCCGCTCTGAGATCGCCAGCTCAGGGCGCCGATTCCACGGCAGAAAGCAAGCAGCAGGCGCTGCAGCCGGTGTCGTCCATGCACAGCCGCCTCCTACCTGCCCCACAGCCGCCCGCCCGCCCGCCCGCCCGCCCGCTGGGGCCGGAGGCTGAGGAGTCGGGGCGGCTTCCCTCCCCAGAGGGCTCCTCGCCCAGATCCCTGCTCTGCACGCGCCCGGCAGCCCCCAGCCCCACGCTCCTGTCCCCGCGCCATCCGCCTCCCTCTCCCCGAACCCCCCCTCGCCCCGGCACCCGCAGACCACCGCCGCTCAGGCCCGCTCTGCCCGCCTCTCGCTCTGGCCTGGCGCGTCCGCCAAGGGTCACCCCTCGGCTGGCGGGGGAGTGGGGGTGACACGCCTTCCCAGAGGGTTGACTGAAAAGCCGCAGGAGGGAGCCTCTTGGGGAGTGCGGGGGGCGAAGGGTCGGGCTGTGGCCTGGGCTCAGCCCCGTAACCAGCGGTGCTTACAGGCGGCTACTTCTCTGGGGAGCGAGCCGGGAAGATGCTGGAGGACGCCATCCTGGAGCTGTGCTCCCAGGTGAGTGGGTGCCCCCGCCCCCCGCACCCGTGTCCCCTGTGACGGCTGTCCCTCCGCCCCCTGCACCCGTGTCCCCTGTGACGGGTGCCCCTGTGTCCCCTGCACCCGTGTCCCCTGTGACGGGTGCCCCTGTGTCCCCTGCACCCGTGTCCCCTGTGACGGGTGCCCCTGTGTCCCCTGCACCCGTGTCCCCTGTGACGGGTGCCCCTGTGTCCCCTGCACCCGTGTTCCCTGTGACGGGTGCCCCTGTGTCCCCTGCACCCGTGTCCCCTGTGACGGCTGTCCCTCCGCCCCCTGCACCCGTGTCCCCTGTGACGGGTGCCCCTGTGTCCCCTGCACCCGTGTCCCCTGTGACGGCTGTCCCTCCGCCCCCTGCACCCGTGTCCCCTGTGACGGGTGCCCCTGTGTCCCCTGCACCCGTGCCCCCTGTGACGGGTGCCCCTGTGTCCCCTGCACCCGTGTCCCCTGTGACGGCTGTCCCTCCGCCCCCTGCACCCGTGTCCCCTGTGACGGGTGCCCCTGTGTCCCCTGCACCCGTGCCCCCTGTGACGGGTGCCCCTGTGTCCCCTGCACCCGTGTCCCCTGTGACGGCTGTCCCTCCGCCCCCTGCACCCATGTCCCCTGTGACGGGTGCTCCCACACGGCTCCCTGCACCCACGCCCTCAGCTCCCACCTCGCTCCCACGCTCCCCCTGTGCACGCAGCCGTCAGCCGAGCGGGGCCGGGACCGGAAACTGCTCCTGCCCGAAGCAGGGAGGGTTCTGTGGGACCCTCTGGCGCTCCGTCCAGCGAGTGCCCACGGGGACAGCGTGGGGAGCCTCTCGCTCCCGTGGTCGCCGCTGACTGCGGAGTGGCCGTGGCAGTGCGGCCGGTGGCTGAGCTTTTCTTCTCTCCTGGAATTAATTAAGTGAGAGTGCCCCGTGCGCTGTGGCCGCCACACAGGGCCACGCAGCTGCTGCCCTGAGCCCCGGCTCCACATGGGGTCGTGGACGCCCTGGGCGGCTGGCCATGCCGTTCTCCGGCAGCCAGGTCAGGGTGGCCAGCCCGCGGACAGCTAGTGGGTCCGGGGCACCAGGGCTCCCTCTCTAGGGGGCAGCCCTCCCGCCCCGGCCCTCCCACAGGGGGCAGTGACGAGGCCTCGTCCTCCGAGGCTGACGTTTGAGCTGCGCTGTCACAGCCGCGGTCCCGGGTGCTCCCCCGCGCCGCTCCCCCTGGCGAAGGCCGTGGGCCGAGGGATACGACTCTGCCGCCTCCCCACCCGCCCCGGGGCCCGGGGCCATCGTCACCCGCAGGTGGTGGGTGTGGGCCGTGGGACAGCGTGTGCGGGAGGCCAGCGTCCGCCCGGGGGGACCGCCTGGGCTGTGTGCCAGGGCCGTGTGGCTCTGTGCTGACCGCTTGCTTCCCTCTAGCCCTGTGGTCGGCAAACTGCGGCTCGCGAGCCACACGCGAGCACCTTGAGTGTGGCTCTTCCACGGCCTGGGCGAGTCTGTGCTGAAGAAGTGGCGTTAGGAGAAGTTCAAGTTTAAAACATGTGGCTCTCCAAAGAAACTCCAATCGTTGTGCTGTTGCTGTTTGGCTCTGTTGACTGATGAGTTTGCTGACCACTGGGCTAGACGGTCTGGGTGCCGTCAGCTGCTGTTCAGCACAGCTGTGGCGTCTCACAGGGGTTTTAAGAAAGCATGTGTTTTTGCATTTCAAGAACATTCTTGGGCGTCTTCTGTAAATTCCACCCTGAAGACTAATGCATGTGCAGGACAGACGGGGTCACAGCCCGCGTGTGCGGGACAGACGGCGTCACAGCCCGCCGTGGGCCCGCCAGAGCGCCCACAGGTGCAGGGTGCGCCTCTCCCGGCGGCTCTGGCGGCTTTCCCGGCCTGGAACCGCCGCTGCCCGGTGGGTGGGGGGCCCTCCCCGGCGACGAGACACAAAGGGTTGGAGGCGTGCGTGGAGCTGCCTGGCGGAGCACTCAGAGGCCCGGCGCCGGCCGGCGGGAGGCCCCGGGATTCGGCCTCTGCCAGGGTTACCGTTGCTGGTGGTCGAGCAACAAACTTGGGCTCTGTTGGGCGACGCGGGGCTGTGCCCAGCGCGTGCCTGTGTTTCCCGACAGCTGAAGGATGACGCCGTCGCCCTGGTGGACGTGCTCGCGCCTCCCGACTTCGTGCTGGACTCCCCGATCGGCAGAGCCGACGGCCAGGTAAGGCCTCCGGGTGTCCGGGGCCGCTCTGGGCCTCGGTGACCGCCTGCCGGGGCTTCTGGCGCCTGCGGGGGCTGTCACACTCCGTGCAGGGAGGAGTCTGAGCGTCTCACCCCAGAGCCTTCCTCTGAGAAACAGGGTGACGCGGCCTGGTGGGCTGTGATGGGACCGGGCCCGCAGCACCTCCCTCCCTCCCACTGGCCCACGGCCCCTCCTGGCCTGGCTCCCCCCATCTCAGGGCTGGCTCCCCCGCAGCCGGGCCCTCACCTCTGCAGCCTGCTTCCCTGTGGCCGCTGCGTGCCCCTATTCTCCTCCTGGCCCCGCCCCAACGATTTCTTAAAAAGCCGGTGTCCTCAGCCACCCCTCTGGCCAAGCCCTCCCCAGCGTCCCCTGTCCCTGAAGTCACCCCCCCCCCCCCCCCCCCCCGGCCCCGCACCCCTTGCAGCCTGGCCGAGCTGGTCCTCAAGGTCACCGAGCGCCCTGCTCCTCTGCCGTCCGGCTTCCAGCTGGCGGCCTCTCTGCCCGCCGGGCTGCTGGCTCTCCCACGCAGGACCTTCGCACCTGCTGTCCGGCAGCCGGGGCCCCGCCCTTCACTCAGGGCGAGCACACGGCTGCCTCTCAGCGAGCTCTTCGCTGGCCTCTGGGGGGGTGCCCAGGCTCCGCCCACTCTGTGCTACGTGTGACCTCAAAGTGCTCATCTCTGACTCCCGTGTCTCCACGTGTCCCCACGTGACTCCTCTGCTCGGCGCCTCCCGGGCCGCACTCGCCACAGTGTGGGCCCTGGTGGCCCGGGGCCGTGCCTGAGGTCCCAGCTGCCAGCGTCGAGCAGGATGCCCCCCCGCCCCCCCGGGCCCACGCCCGTCCTCTCTGCGGAGACCTGCTGCAGAGGGCGAGGGGCCAGGAGCCGCCACCTGTCCTCGGAGGACGCTGAGCGGGCGCTCTCACGGTCACTGCACACACCGTCCGGCCCTGTCCGGGGCCGGCACCTGACCTCCGCGTGGCCCAGCCCACCTGGGGTGGCGGCAGAGGTCCCCGGAACCGCTGCCCGGGGGGAGACCCACATCCAGCAGGCAGGCGGCCGCCCAGCCAGCGTGGCAGAGCCAGGGTCTGGGCGAGGAGTGCTGTTCGGGGGAAGCGGGGAGAGACCACGAGCCCCCCGACCCTGGCCCCCTGGTGTGGCCAGGGCTGCAGAGACAGCACTGCTCTGCTTGGCCCAGGGGAGAGGGGCTGGCCTGGGGGGGTGGGACTTAGCAGGCAGCCAGGCGGGTGGGCGTTTGAGGAAGAGGCAGAGGGGCCTGGCAGGGAGCGCCCAGGAAAGGCGCCTTCTGGGGACCCCGAGGCCACAGGGTGTCTGCCCGGAGAGGGGGGCAGGGCGGCTGAGCCGGAGCTGCGGCCGCTGTGGCAGGTGATGGAAAGATCCCCACGCTGGGCTCCGGACCCACAGCCACAGGCAGGGCAGTCCGTCTCCTCCGCCCTCACTCCTCCTGGCTTCACACTGACGCCTGAACCAGGCGCTGCCGGCGAGAAGCCCGTTTCCAGCCAGCGCGGCCGTGGGGGACGGTCTGAGATGCTCAGCCTGGAGCCGGGCACCCACTGCAGGAGGAACCCGGGCGTGTGCCCGCAGGAAAAGCCTGCGTCCGGGTCCCGGGAGGAGCGGGTGCTGCGGAGAATCCCGAGGGCACCAGCAGGGGCGGGAGGGGCCCGGAGGTCCGCGCCCGTCACACACAAAGCGGGCCCTTGCTTCCCTGCCCAGCTGCCCGCTCCGGCCCTGGCGCTGGCTGAGCTGGAGCGGGGAGACGGCCCTCTGCCCTCAGCGGTGCGGCTCCCGCGGCCCCTGTGGCTCCCGCGGCCCCCTGCTGGCCGCTCTCTCCCCCGGGGCCGCTCTGCTGGGAGCCGCCTGTTTGGAAAGTCCTGGAGGAGACGGCTGGGCAGGCGGAGGGACAGTGAGTGCCAGGCCTGCCCGCCCAGAGGGCCGGGACCACAGGGTGAGGCCAGCCCCACGGCCGTCCTTCTGCCACTAGGCTGCGCCTCCCGCGGTGCCAGGGAGGGACTCAGCGAGAACCCGGAGCGCAGACCCACCTCCCCCCCCCCCCCCCGGGCCCCACCAACTGGACACAGGGTCTGTCCTCGGCGAGAATCCCCACAGCTGAGGGCCAGCGATGCTCCTGCCAGCAGGCTTTCAGATTGCATGTCCCCGTTGCCTCCCGCTCGGGGAAGGGGTGGGTGTCGTTAGATGTGAGCTCCGGGGCACCCCGGGCGCCGGCGGAGGCGTCACCGCGGCCTGTCCTCCCGCAGCTCTACAGAAACCTGTGGGGCGCCGTCCTGCAGCAGCCCGGCGTGCTGGAGCGGCCGTCCTGGTGGCCCGAGTTCGCCGCCAGCAAGCCCGCCGCGGGGGCTGCGAGCTCGAAGCTGTAGCCGCCGCCGTGAAGCCCGCACGAAGCCTCTGCGCCCGCCGGCTGGTGACCGTGGCCGAGGGGCCTGCCCTCCCGCTGGGCCCCGGAGTCTCAGGGCAGGGGCAGCCCGGGGTCAGGGGGCATTTGCTGTGGGAACAGCCTGTGTGATGGCGCCTCCCGGACGATGGGCCGTGGACTTGGACAGAACTGCCGGGAGCCGGTCACTGTCTCCCGGGCAGAGGGTGCGGGCGGGACCCCGAAGGCTGGTCAGCGTAACCGCTCCGAAAGGCAGGGCCAATCGCTCTCCGTGGCGGAGACACGGGTAGCTGAAGCAGCTCCACCTGGTGGCCTTACGATGGGCTGTTACTGGAGTCTCCTGCCTGGGGGACGGGGTGTATCCCATCGTCTTAATAAAAGGGACGGCAAGCCGGAGCGGGGAGCAGTCCTCTCTTGGGCTCCCACCTGGCCCCCGTTTCCCAAATGAATGCTCTTCAAGACTTTTTTCATTCGTGCGGGGCCTTCTCCAGAACCCGGACCCTGAACCGGAACCCTGAACCACCGGGACGTGAAAAGGGCTCCCACATCTCCCTGTGTGGACCAAGGCCGCCGCTCCCCTGGGCTTTCCGGGCGCCGGGGCCCACGCCAGCTGGGGCCCACCACGCCGGCCGGGGCCCACCACGCCGGCCGGGGCCCACCACGCCGGCCAGGGCCCACGCCGGCCGGGGCCCACGCCAGCGAGGGGCTGCCGCCGCCTCGCCAGCCGGGCGCTGTGCTGTGATGCTCTGCTGTTGCCTTCCCACGGGATCAATTGGTGAGGACTGTCTGAGCTGCGGACCACAGCACTGTTCCTGGTTTTTTTTAATTGATTTTTTTACAGAGAGGAAGAGAGAGGGATAGAGAGTTAGAAATATCGATGAGAGAGAAACATCGACCAGCTGCCTCCTGCACACCCTCACTGGGGATGTGCCTGCAAACAAGGTACATGCTCTTAACCGGAATCGAACCCGGGACCCTTCAGTCCACAGGCCGACGCTCTATCCACTGAGCCAAACCGGTTTCGGCTCTTCCTGATTTTTAAGGGAAGGAGATCGGTTTTCTGCTTCCTGGTGTGGAGCTGGCAGTGCCCCCCAGGACACGACCCCAAAGAACACAGTTCCTGGTCACAGCGTGTCTGGTGTCCAGCCCGGCCGCCCGGCTGCATGCTGTTGCTCGGTCGTTCCCACGTGGCCCCGGGAAGCTTTGCTCAGCAAACCCTTTGACGCGTGGGCATGTATGTGTGCCCGTGCCCTCAGCGCAGCCCCGGTCTGTTGTTGCCTGTCCAGTCAGCGAGGCCGGTGAGGAGGCGGGGGAGCACTCCCCACCACGCAGTGTGTGCGAGCCGGATGGGGGCCTGGCGGCTGTGCTGGCTCTCGCCGGTCGTCTGCGTTTCCTTTGGCCGGTGGGTCATGCTCTTGGCCTCTGAGGAGCCCGGGAGGGCTGGGGTGTCGTCAGCAGCAGCCCCAGTGCCCTCCCGCCTGTGCCCGGGAGCCCAGCAGGCACCGGTGGCCCCTGCCCAGGGGGCGCAGACAGAATAGCTGGAGAGCGCCGAGCCCGGAGGGTGTTCTGTTTTTATTTAACCCGTCTGTCTGTAACGACAGGTTTCTGGCTCCGGCAATTACCTGATTGGTAAGTTGCCTTCTGAAGCCTCAGCTTTCATGCCTAGAAAAGGGGTGCGCACACACAGACCTGTTTATTTTAGGGAGAAAAGGGAGAAAGGGGGGGTGGGGAGAGGAGGGGGTAGCCAGAGGGAGGGAGAGAGATCGGTTTGTTGTCCCTCTTAGGCACCCTTTGGTGATTCCTATGTGTGCCCTGACCTGAGATTGAACCCACAGCCTTGGCGTGGGGGGGCCGCTCTAACCAGTGGACTGCCCGGCCAGGCTGAGTGGCTGCTTTAATGGGCACTTCCTGACACTGGGAGGTCTCTCCTTCTCCCGGACCCTCAGGCCGCTGTGTGAGGGGAGCTGTGCTGTTGGCCTGCTTTATCCTCGGGGAATCGGACCCTGGGAGGCGCAGTGGCCAGACAAGATGGCCAGGAGGCAGCCGAGCTGGGCTGGGCCGGGCCGACGCTCGGGCCCAGTGCGTCCTCAGCCAGCACGCAGCTCGGGCCGCCAGCGTCAGTGCCGGTGTCTCCCGGGAGCCATCGGCCGGATGGAGCGTGCCTGGCCGCCGTTTCCTTGGTTTCAAACAAACCTCGTGTCCGGCCTGTTTTGTGCATCAGCACCCTGGGTCCCGCCTCCGGACAGAGGGAGCAGTGGCCGCTGTCCCGGAGCCTCGGGGTCGGACGGCGCTTCTGGGCGCACATCCAGGCAGGGGCGGCGGGCTGAGCTGGGGCTGTGTCCCACAGTCCTGTGTCCCAGCCTGAGCCAGCACCTCGGGGGACGGCTGTCCTCGGAGGCGGGTCTTACAGGGGATGAGCCGCAATGTGGCCACGGGTGGCCCTGACCCCGCTGACGGGCGCCTCGCGGAGAGGTGAGGACAGACACGCACGGGCCCACCCTGGGGGACACGGGGAGCAGACGGCTGTCCACACGCCAAGGGGAGGCCCTAGGAGGCCCACCCTGCCCACACCTGGTCCTGGCATCCAGCCTCTGGGTGGGGGCCGGCGGGGGGGGGGGAGGATGACGTTCATGGTTAAGCCCCGTCTGGGGGTGGCAGCCCAGCCAGCTCCCTCCTGTGTGACCTGAGGGCCCAGCGGGGGGCCGGTGACCCCACCCCTTTCAGATAAAGAGACGGAGGCAGGCAGTGGCTCGGCTGTGGGCACCTGTACCCCATGGGCCGGTTTCACCCCCGTCCCACCACTGCAGGGCTAGCGGGGGCCTAAGAGAAGGTGAGGCCCAGGGAGGCCGATGTGGGCGCTCAGAGGGAGGGTGAGCGGAGTGAGCATCAGGCTGGCCTAGGGTGAGTGTCCAGGGCGTGCCAAGCAGCCAGCGTCCCGGCTCCCTTCTCCCGCCAGCCGGGCCGAGCAGGGAAGCCGCTCCGAGAGGGCAGGGCTGTCCCTCCGAGCGGGACCCACCACCCTGCCCAGGTGCCGCCTCCCGGTGCTGCCCGTCCAGGGAGGGCGCTCAGGGCCCTTCTCTGCGGCCCTGCCCGTGTCTCCCTCCCCTGGCCATGCCCTTGGCCACTGCAGACTGGGCCCCCAAGGGCCCCCTCTCACTCTGATGGGGGGACCACGCGAAGCCCTGCGACCTGCACTGGGGTGGGGTGCAAAACAGGGGGCTGCCATTCCCTCCCAGCCCTCCCCGGGCCACACGGACGTGAGAGCCCAGCCTGTGGTCCCCCCTTGGCTCCGGCCGGCACCCTGCCCCAAACCCACTGCCTCTCCCCTTTGCAGCTGGACCCAGGTCTCCGGAGAGGCAAGAGCTCACAGGCTGACGTCAGGGCGCCCGGCCCAGGCAAGTGCTGCCGCGGGAGGGGCTCAGTTTCCTCATCTGTGAAATGGGTCAGCGTCACCCAGGATGCTCAGGGAAGGCTCTAGGAGACAGTGGGCCGGCTCAGTCAGAGGCTCTGTGCGTGGGGACCTGCTGTCGCTGCCGCACAGGGTCACGGCGCAGAGGACGGTGCTGGGCGCCGGGGGCACGGGCCGGCCCGGTGAGCCGGGCTCCCGAGGGAGACACACCGAGGGAGCGTGAGGCCCTCGCCCGCAGGAGGGAGGTGCCCTGGGCACACGGGGTCCAGGCCGCGCGGCCTGAGCTGGCCCCTGTGCTGACCCGGCAGCCGCTCAGCCGGCCAGCCTGCGGCGGGGCCCTGGGGACCGGGCGCCAAGTTTGAAGGCTGCCGGTGGTCTCAGGAGTTTCTTGAAAACATGTATTCTCTCCCGGCTTGGCAGCTGTTTTTCCTTAAAAAGAAAAACACAAACCAAAACCAAAACACAGGGCGGGGTCAGGGCGCGCTGCCAGGCCGCTGCCGGATGCCCCCCCGCAGGAGCGGCCGCGGGGAATCCCAGCCTGGGGGCTGCCCCCCACACGGCCCGCTGCCCCCCAGAACTCTCAGCCTCAGGGCCTTTGCACGGCTGTTCCCTTGATTCCAACACTGTTCCCTCCCTGTCCTCCCAGCAGCTCCCCTTTGGGGCTGTGCCTGGCCCTCCCTCCCTCCGCCTTTCTGTCCGGGGACTGCTCCCGGCGGAGGTGGGGGGGCCGAGGCTGGTGGCCTCCTCTGGGTCTCAAGCCGCGACCACGGGACAAGTGTCCAGGCGGCAGCTGCTGGTGAAGCAGTGGAGGCTGGGGCAGGGGAGGCTGGGGCAGGGAGGCTGGGGCAGGGAGGCTGGGGCAGGGAGGATGGGGCAGGGGAGGCCGGGGTGAGGAGGCAGGGGCAGGGAGGCTGGGACAGGGAGGATGGGACAGGGGAAGCTGGGGTGCGGAGGCTGGGGCAGGGGAGGATGGGGTAGGGGAGGCGGGGGTGAGGAGGCAGGGGCAGGGAGGCTGGGACAGGGGAAGCTGGGGTGCGGAGGCTGGGGCAGGGGAGGATGGGGCAGTGAGGCCGGGGCGGGGAGGCTGGGGCAGGGGAGGCTGGGGCAGGGGAGGCTGGGGCAGTGAAGCCGGGGTGGGGAGGCTGGGGCAGGGGAGGCTGGGGCAGGGAGGCTGGGGCAGGGGAGGCTGGGGCAGGGAAGGATGGGCAGGGGAGGCTGGGGCAGGGAGGCTGGGGCAGGGAAGGATGGGGCAGGGGAGGCTGGGGCAGGGAAGGATGGGGCAGGGGAGGCTGGGGCAGGGAGGCTGGGGCAGGGAGGCTGGGGCAGGGGAGGCTGGGGCAGTGAGGCCGGGGTGGGGAGGCTGGGGCAGGGGAGGATGGGGCAGGGAGGCTGGGGCAGGGGAGGATGGGGCATGGGGGGCTGGGACAGTGAGGCTGGGGTAGTGAGGATGGGGCAGAGAGGCTGGGGCAGGTGAGGCTGGGGCTGGGGGCCTGGGGCGGGGGGGGCACAGCTGAGCCCAAGTCGGGCTGGGCAGGGAGATGGCGAGGCTCCCCCACTATCAGCAGCTGCCGGTGGTTCTGGGCATCCCAGGTGGTAGAAGGTTCTAGGTCTGCTGGGGGCCGGGGAGGGAGGGGGACAGCCCAGCCAGCGGACAGCTGTCCAGGGAGCAGGCGAGACAGTGCAGCTTGGAGGGTGCAGACCCAGGCAGCGGGGGCCGGCGTGGAGGGCGGTGGGAGCCATCGGAGCCGGCTGGGACAGGCTGGGCCGGGGCTCTCCGAAGCCGCCCCGCGTCACTGCGGGGACCCAGCCAGGCTGGCGTGGACTCGGGTGAGCAGACCGAGGGCTGCGCTGGCGAGGCCGGGAGAGGCGGGTGCTGGCAGCTGTGCCAGAGCGGGTCCCAGCGGCAGAGGGTGAGCTCACAGCCAGGCGGCCGCAGAGCCAGCTCGCCGGTCCCCGCCCCCCGCAGCGTGTTTGTTCCCACGCGGCCAGGGGCCAGGGCGTGTGCTTTTCTCAGAATACAAATGGGTCTTGGCTCG